AGCCATGGCCGGGAGGAGCCTTTTAAACAGAGGCTGGATGGGCATCTGTCAGGGGTGATTTGAATGCAATATTCCTGCTTCTTGGCAGAATGGGGTTGGACTGGATGGCCCATGAGGTCTCTTCCAACTCTATGATTCTATGATGTCTAGCTTTTCGGTGCCTAGGAGGTTGTGCTCAAATCCAGCCACAGGGGAGTGCTGTCGCTCCATTCTCTATGACAAAGAGCCATCAGGACTTCCTCCTTCCTTTTGGTCACCAGCATTTTCTGAACTTTTTCTTTTATTGTGTCATAAAATGTCTCCCCTGCTTTTTAGCGATACCTATTTTTTCTTACAGCTATGAGCTGTTTTCAAACTGCTTAGGTCAGTGATGGGTAACCTTTTGAGCTTGGTGTGTCAACATTTGCCAAAAACCTGAGCATAACTTAGGTGGAATATCACTTTGACAAAAAAAAACCCCATAATTTTGCAATATTTATAGTTTAAATAAGAAAAATGTATAATCCATGCTGAGTTATTTGAGTGAACAATGCTCAAACGTGCAGATGTTTAATTTGTAGAGCGTTTTACAAATTTAAGGATGGAATTAGATTGGCTCTTATAAGGTGTATTTCTCTGTATGTGGCCACATGTGTCTGCGTGTCATCAAAAATAGCCATGCGTGTCAGTGCTGACACACGTGTCATAGGTTCACCATCACGGGCTTAGGTAAACAGTGATCTGGGCTGACAGTTAGGTGCTCACCCTGACCCCAGCTTCAAACTGGCAACCTTTCAGTTGGTGGATCTTATTGCTGCTGGTTGTGATTTTACCAAGTGTGTCATAGCCCGGATGGCCAGTGTTTTGCAAAAATTGTTGTGTAGAGCAGTGGTTCCCATCCTGTGGCCCTCCAGATATTTAGATGCAAGGCTTGTGAATATTATTATTATTATTATTATTATTAAACTTTATTTGTACCCCGCTAGCATCTCCCAAAGGGATTCGATGCGGCTTACAACAGGCCGGAGCCCAGCACAACAATACAAACATAGCAAATAAAACAGTTAAAGCAGAGAACAGTGGCAATAAACAATACAACGAGACATATTTAAAAAAAACTGAGCCGGCTGAAGTGGGGTACAGGGTTAAAAGTGCTGAAAAAGTGTCGGGGGATATGAGATTAAAGTATAAGTGCGGTGTGCGTTGAGAGTGGTCTTGACTCTACTAAAGTGCTTCTGGGCTTTAATAGTAGGGTTCCTAATCTGAGAAGGCACGTTGGAATAGCCAGGTTTTCAGGTTTTTTCTAAAAACCGCCAAGGTGGGGGCCTGTCTGAGATCTTTCGGGAGGGCATTCCAGAGGCGGGGGGCCACCACAGAGAAGGCCCTGTCCCGCGTCCCCACCAGACGCGCCTGCGAGGCGGGTGGGATCACGAGCAGGGCCTCTCCTGATGACCGGAGCGAGCGTGTGGGTTCGTAGACTGTGATGCGGTCTCGAAGGTAGGATGGTCCCAAACCGTTCAGGGCTTTGTAGGTAAGCACCTGCACCTTAAATTGGGCTCGGAAAATAAACGGCAGCCAGTGGAGCTCCTTGAACAGGAGGGTTGACCTCTCTCTGTAAGGGGCCCCCGTTAGCATCCTAGCTGCTGCCCGTTGGACCAGTTGGAATTTCCGAGCCGTTTTCAAGGGCAGCCCTACGTAGAGCGCATTGCAGTAGTCCAGTCTAGAGGTGACTAAGGCATGGACCACCCCGGCCAGATCAGCCTTCGCGAGGTACGGGCGCAGCTGGCGCACAAGTCTCAGTTGTGCAAAAGCCCCCCCGGCCACCGCCGACGCCTGAGCCTCAAGCGTAAGCGATGAATCCAGGAGGACTCCCAAGCTGCGGACCTGTGGCTTCAGGGGGAGTGTAACCCCGTCCAACACAGGTTGCCACCCTATACCCCGGTCTGGTTTGCGATCAACCAGGAGGACCTCTGTCTTGTCGGGATTGATCTTCAGCTTGTTCGTCCTCATCCAGATAGACACAGCGGCCAGGCACTCGTCTATATGATGTCTGTTGTTAAAATGTCCTTTCACCTTTTACCTAACCTCAGAGCTGGAAATGCTATTGGGTTGCAAATCCCATTATCCCTGATCAGGGGCGGCTCAACCCATTAAGCCATGGCCCTGATGCCCGACCACCGTCTCCCAAAGCATTTGCTCTATTCCGAACTCAAGAATGGAAAACGAAATAATGGAGGACAGGAAAAAAGATTTAAAGATGGGCTCAAAGTCAACCTTAAAAACTGTGGCATAGACACCAAAACTGGGAAGCCTTGGCCCTTGAGCACTCCAGTTGGAGGTCAGCTGTGACCAGCAGTGCTGCAGAATTTGAAGAGGCACAAATGGAGGGTGAAAGAGAGAAACGTGCCAAGAGGAAGGCGCGTCAAGCCAACCCCGACCGGGACCGCCTTCCGTCTGGAAACCGATGCCCTCACTGTGGGAGAAGATGCAGATCAAGAATAGGGCTCCACAGTCACCTACGGACCCAACGCCAGGATACTACACTTGGAGGACCATCATCCTCAAACTATGAGGGATCACCTAAGTAAGTAAGTAAGTAAGTAAGTAATGGCCCTGAGCCTTCAAGACCTGAGCAAGGCTGTTGAAGACAGTGATTTGGAGGTCTCCAATACGCAGGATGATTCCCACCCCTATGCCACGCGTTGCTGTGGCCCAGTCTGGTGATCTGGAAAATAAAGTAATGAGAAAGTGTTGGTTTCTAATATATGTAATTCCTTGATGCTTGTGAGTAAACAGTATTTCTTGTTGTTTCTTTGTCAGTGTTGATGTGGAGAGTGTCTGGTTTGCCTACTCCGGAACAGGCAACATATCATAGTCCTTCTTTAGGGGCTCTTTCAAATCTATGATACTATATCTCTATGTGTGTGTGTGTGTGAATCATATCTATCTATCTATCTATCTATCTATCTATCTATCTATCTATCTATCTATCTATCTATCTATATTTATGACTGGATGGCTCTTTGTCAGGAGGGCTCTGATTACATTTTCTTGCCCTGGTGAAGAGAGTTGGACAGGGTGGCCTTAAGTATTTTCTGTTGGTCATGGGGGTCTCTGTGTGGGAAGTTAGGCCCAATTCTGTCGTTCGTGGAGTTCAGAATGCTCTTTGATTGTAGGTGAACTATAAATCCCAATGACTACAACTCCCAAATGTCAAGGTCTATTTCCCCCAAACTCCATCTGTGTTCATATTTGGGCGTATTGAGTGCTTGTGCCAAGTTTGGTCCAGATCCATCATTGTTTGAGTCCACAGTGCTCTCTGGATGTAGGTGAACTACAGCTCCCAGACTCAAGGTCAATGCCCACCAAACTCTTCCAGTATTTTCTGTTGGTCATGGGAGTCTTGTGTGCCAAGTTTGGTTCAATTCCATCATTGATGGAGTTCAGAATGCTCTTTGGCTGTAGGCGAACTATAAATCCCAATGACTACAACTCCCAAATGTCAAGGTCTATTTCCCCCAAACTCCATCTGTGTTCATATTTGGGCGTATTGAGTGCTTGTGCCAAGTTTGGTCCAGATCCATCATTGTTTGAGTCCACAGTGCTCTCTGGATGTAGGTGAACTACAGCTCCCAAACTCAAGGTCAATGCCCACCAAACCCTTCTAGTGTTTTCTGTTGGTCATGGGAGTTTTCTGTTGGTCATGGGAGATGCAGATCAAGAATAGGGCTCCACAGTCACCTACGGACCCAACGCCAGGATATTACACTTGGAGGACCATCATCCTCAAATGATGAGGGATCACCTAAGTAAGTCAGTAAGTAATGGCCCTGAGCCTTCAAGTCCTGAGCAAGGCTGTTGAGGACAGTGTGCCAAGTTTGGTTCAATTCCATCATGGATGGAGTTCAGAATGCTCTTTGATTGTGGGCGAACTATAAATCCCAGTGACTACAACTCCCAAATGACAAAATCACAATTTTTTGAGTGATGGTCACTCCTTGTGTTGTGAGACGTTTTGTTGCCAAATTTGGTGTGATTTTGTTCATTGGTTCTTTGGTTTTTAAGGAACTCATTATGCACAGAGCATTTTTATATAGATAGATAGCAATAGCCTGTACTGGACGGGGCCACACTCCCCCTGAAAGCTCAGGTGCGCAGTCTGGGAGTTCTCCTGGATTCATCGCTGAGCCTGGAACCCCAGGTCATAGCGGTGGTCAGGGGAGCGTTTGCACAATTAAAACTTGTGCGCCAGCTGTGTCCGTACCTTGGGAGGGCTGACTTGGCCACGGTAGTACACGCTTTGGTTACATCCCGCTTAGACTACTGCAACGCTCTCTACATGGGGTTGCCTTTGAAGACTGCCTGGAAGCTGCAGTAAGTCCAACGCGTGGCAGCCAGATTACTAACGGGTGCTGGGTATAGGGAGCACACTACTCCGCTGTTACGCCAGCTCCACTGGCTGCCAATTAGCTTCCGAGCACAATTCAAAGTGCTGGTGTTGACCTATAAGCCCTAAACGACTCCGGCCCTGTTTACCTCTCCGAACGTATTCTCCCCTACGAACCATCAAGATTATTAAGATCATCTGGAGAGGCCCTGCTCTCGGTCCCACCGGCCTTGCAAGCGCGCCTGGTGGGGACGAGGGACAGGGCCTTCTCGGTGGTGGCCCCGCGACTCTGGAACTCTCTCCCTCTGGAGGCCAGAACCGCCCCATCCATCTTAACATTTAGGAAATGGGTGAAGACGTGGCTGTGGAGTCAGGCCTTCGATGAATGAGACAACACCATAGGACCCTGGATGGAAGTTGATGTAGATCCATCTTAATAGGACGACTGACCACTGTAGTTTTATATATAGTGTTTTTAAAGTTGTTTTTGTAATTGTGATATATGATATTTTAATGAGTGTATATATTTTTTATGGCTGGAAACCGGGCTGAGTCCCTCAATGAGGTTGAGAAGCTCGGTATAGAAAACTGTGAAATAAATAAATAAATAAATAATAATGACACATCACAAGAATTTCACAACATCCATCTTTAAATAAGTTCAGCTAAGAATCGCTGCACCAAAGAGAGGAGGAGAGGAGACAACAGGGTTGGTTCCACCACCGGCCTGCCATGATGCCCAAGACAATTGGGAGGCACCATGTCCGGTCGCCTGTTTTCTCCTCATCGACAGGCCCATCGCTCCCCACCAACCCACCCAACCCACCCCCAGCTGTGGGCAAGAAAAAGGACACAAAAAAGGGGGGCGTATTTACAACAACAAAAAGTGTTCTGAAGAAACCCAGCTCAGCTTCAGTTTCTGGAGAGGCACCAGGCCACCCTCACAAAGTCCATTGCATGAAGAGTCGGGGAGAAGGGAGTCCGAGTCCCGGGCAGCTCGCAAAAGAGCCGCTTGCACCAAGGAGTGAGTTGGGGTATTTTTGGATTGCGGGGGGTGTATATAGGGTTATGGAGACCACCAGCTCCTTCCCGAACCAGCAGCCTCAGTCAATGCGGAGCTTGACCTCTCGATGGTCCATAGGGGTCACGACCTCATTGGCGTAGCCGTTGTCGGAGCAGAGGGAGAGCTCGTCCGTCATTTCCACTCCGCTGTTGATTTCTGGAGAAGAATGAACACCAACAAAGATGCAAAACAGAAGAAGACATTGCATTAAAACACGGATAATGAAACAAAATCAATCACACTCCCCACTCCATGATTAACCATAAGTGATCATTTGCCTCTAAGAATGCTATGATTAATGCGGATTCACTGGATAATATCCACCAGCTGTTTTGTACACTCACTTTGGAGAATGTGCAGATATATGTTCTCATGCATAGAGATTGATCCATGTCCAACACATCTTAGTGTACAGGTATTTTATTTGTCTTTTTAATGCACTTTACTCTCAGTGAACCAGCACCCATGAGGATTGGTTGATGTTGGATAAAGGCTTTCATGGCTGGAATCACTGGGTTGCTATGAGTTTTTCGGGCTGTATGGTCATGTTCCAGCAGCATTATCTCCTGACGTTTGGTCTGCATCTATGGCTGGCATCTTCAAAGGTTCTGTTGGCAATTAAGCAAGTGGAGTGTATATATACCTGTGGGAGAATATATATCCAGGGTGGGAGAAATAATCCTTGTCTGTTTAAAGCAAGTGTGAATGTCGCAATTAGCAAGCTTGAGTAGCCATGAAGCTGCAAAGTCAGTCAGTGAGGGCATCTGCATAGAGGTAGCTTGGCCTTTGTTGCCTGGAGGCTGCTCTGTTTGAGGTCAGGCAAATGGAATGTGTGTGTGTGTGTGTGTGTGTGGATTAATGTCCAGTAGCCCTGCAGCTTCAAAGTCAATCAGTAAGGATATCTGCATAAAGGTAGTCTAGCATTTGTTGCCTGGAGTCTGCTCTGTTGGAGGTGAGGCAAATTGAATGTGTGTGTGTGTGTGTGTGTGTGGATTAATGTCCACCCTGCAGCCTCAAAGTCAATCAGTGAGGGCATCTACATAAAGGTAGTCTGGCATTTGTTGCTCTGTTGGAGGTGAAGCAAGTGGAACATATATTGATCTATTAAATATCTATCTATCTATCTATCTATGGAATAATGTCCAGTAGCCTTGCAGCTTCCAAGTCAACCAGTGAGGGCATCTGCATAGAGGTAGCCTGGTCTTAGTTGCCTGGAGGCTGCTCTGTTGGAGGTGAGGCAAATTGAATATGTGTGTGTGTGGATTAGTGTCCACCCTGCATCTTCAAAGTCAATCAGTGAGGACATCTGCATAAAGGTAGTCTGGCATTTGTTGCCTGGAGGTTGCTCTGTTGGAGGTGAAGCAAGTGGAACGTATATCACTCTATTAAATATCTATCTATCTATCTATCTATGGAATAATGTCCAGTAACCTTTCAGCTTCAAAGTCAATCAGTGAGGGCATCTGCATAGAAGTAGCCTGGTCTTAGCAGACTGGAGGTTGCTCTGTTGGAGTTGAGGCAAGTGGAATGTTTGTGTGTGTATCTATCTGTGAAATAATGCCCAATAGCCTTGCAGCTTCAAAGTCAATCAGTGAGGGTATCTGCGTACAGGTAGCCTGGCTGTTGTTGCCTGGAGGCACCCTCTCTTTGGCAGGTGTTAACTGGCACTTGATTGTTTACTTTCTGGAGTTCCCGGGTTTCTGACTGGTGTTCTTGCTTTATTTCTTGATTCTGGTGTATTTTCAATGCTGGTAACCAGATTTTGTTCATTTTCATGGTTTCCTCCTTTCTGGTTGCTTGAGAGTTACTATTAAAATAGGCCTAAAAATACTATACTCCATACTATACCATACTACAAATATACAGCAATTAAAAACAAATAAGGACAAGATTAATTCAATGTAATAGTTTTACTGATTGATAAAAACAGCTTTGTGAATGAAGTATGCAATGTTAGTTAAGTGGCAGTGAAAACTTGTTTGATTTTAATTTTAATTTCAAGTATTACTTATTTTTGTTGCTTGGGTTCTGGTTAACTGAGAGTCTACTGTTCCATATATTATTTAAGCTTACACTGTAAGCCCAGCTTGGAAGAAAGGTCTGACAACCAATTAACCAATCAATAATTAATTAATTGTCGTGCCCATTTCTTAGGAATTTTGGATACTAATCAACTAGTTCCCGGATAATATTGAGACGTATTGACAGATCACAAAAACATTAATTAATTTTATACCTGAAGACTAAACACACCAATGTGAAAAAATGTGCAAAAATCCCATTGTGCACAATGCCAAGTCAATATACACACAACAGCTGATGTTTATCCACATTCCATCTTCGGCTCACATTAATCCTAATGTATGCAAACTAGAAGATTAAACTTCCCCTTGTAAGATCATTTTATGTAAAGTTTAGTATATCCAGACAGGTTGTAGTACAGGAGCGAAGCAAAGAGGAAATATCGACAATTGCAAAGATCCATGGTTTTGTGCTTTCACAGTGGCAGGGGAGAGCTCGAGTCATATATACAGATTGAGCATCTCTTATCCATAATTCCAAAATACTCCACAATGGTCCATGTTGGTACAGGAGACAATTGCCACCTTTGCTTTCTAATGTTTCTTTCTTTGCTTCATGCACAAAATTATTTAAAACATTGTGTGTGAAATGACCATCAGCTTATACATAAACATACATGGATTTTCTGTTTAGACTTTTCCATCTCCAAGAAATTTCATTCTGTGTATGACTTTTGTGCCACCTAGCAGTCCTGAACCGGTGCTTGGCCGCTGTAATGGTCTGGATGAGGGCTAACAAATTGAAATTGAATCCAGACAAGACAGAGGTCCTCCTGGTCAGTCGCAAGGCCGAACAGGGCATAGGGTTACAGCCTGTGTTAGACGGGGTCGCACTCCCCCTGAAGACGCAGGTTCGCAGCTTGGGGGTGATCTTGGACTCATCACTGAGCCTGGAACCCCAGGTCTCAGCGGTGACCAGGGGAGCATTTGCACAGCTAAAGCTTGTGCACCAGCTGCGCCCGTATCTTGGGAAGTCTGGCTTGGCCACGGTGGTCCACTCTCTGGTTACATCCCGCTTAGACTACTGCAACACTCTCTACGTGGGGTTGCCTTTGAAGACTGCTCGGAAGCTTCAAATGGTCCAGCGCTCGGCAGCCAGGTTGCTAACTGGAGTGGCACTCAGGGAGCATACTACTCCTCTGTTGCGCCAGCTCCACTGGCTGCCAGTTTGCTACCGGGCACAATTCAAAGTGCTGGCATTAGCCGATAAAGCCCTAAACGGTTCTGGCCCTACTTACCTCTCCAAACGCATCTCCTCCTATGAACCGACCAGGACACTAAGATCGTCTGGGGAGGCCCTGCTCCCTGTCCCGCCTGCATCGCAGGTGCGCCTGGCGGGGACGAGAGACAGGGCCTTCTCAGTGGTGGCCCCTCGGCTGTGGAATGCCCTACCTGCAGACATCAGATTGGCCCCCTTGCTGTTGGCGTTTCGGAGGAAGGTGAAGACCTGGCTATTCGAACAAGCGTTTGACTAAACAGTGAAATTGAACATAGGAATATGGAACAATGGATAATGAGAGTGGATTCTGATTTTATTGTTGAGGCATTATGATTGTTATACTGTTGTTAATTGTTGATGTTATAATCTGTTTTAATTGCATTATACTGTTTTGTGATATTTTGCATTGTTGTGTAAACCGCTTTGAGTCGCCTACGGGCTGAGAAAAGCGGTATAGAAATAAAGTAAGTAAGTAAATAAATAAATAAATATTCTTAAATAATAATATTAATGGAGCATCCAGTGGTGCAGTGGGTTAAACCGCTGAGCTGCTGAACTTCCTGATCGAAAGGTCACAGGTTTGAATCCGGGGAGCGATGTGAGCTCCCGCTGTTAGCCATAGCTTCTCCTAACCTAGCAGTTCAAAAACATGCAAATATGAGTAGATCAATAGGTACCACTCTGGCGGGAAGGTAACAGCGCTCCATGCAGTCATGCTGGCTACATCACCTTGGAGGTGTCTACGGACAACGCTGGCTCTTTGGCTTAGAAATGGAGATGAGCACCAACCCCCAGAGACACAACTGGACTTAATGTCAGGGGAAAACCTTTACTTTTATCTAATAATATTAATAATAATAACCCCAAACAGTTATGATCCCAAGCATTTCAGATAAGGGATATCCACCACAAATCCCTAAAAGTATTTGGTGCATATCGTTGGACACAAACCATATATGGCACGTGCACCAGTTAGTTCTTTTAGGTCTTTGGTAGTGAACTTTCAAGCACTGCTGCCTTAAAACCTTTGTCCAATGATGGTAGAGCAGCCATGGGGAAACTTGGGCCCTCCTCCAGGTGTTTTGGACTCCAATTCCCACAATTCCTAACACCCTCAGGCCTTTTCCTTTTCCTAAGGACCTGAGGCTGTTAGGAATTGTGGGAGTTGAAGTCCAAAACACCTGGAGGAGGGCCCAAGTTTGCCCATGGCTGTGATAGAGACTAAATATAAGATTTTTATAAGGGAGCAGCTACAGTGATCCTCCCCCTATGTAAACATGAAAGACTTATTTTTCTGTTAACACAAGGAGGGGTGTTGGAGCATGTAATAAATCAATTAATGTATGTGTGTCAACTGTAAAATAATATGCATGAAGCTGGTTGGTTGGGCCATGCCCAGGGAGTTGGCTGAGTCTGGGACTTCTGGATACTGTTAAATTTTCAGGCTTCAGTTATGCAGATGCTCAGAGAGAAGCAGAGAGAGAAGAGAGTTTGGAGTGTACTCTTGCTTCATGAGTGGCTGGAGGAAGATTCTCCACATGGACAAAGAAAGACCATTTTAAATCTCTCATAAAAGGACATTGTAAATATGTTGTTCTGAACAATGAAGAGTAAACTACTTGTTCTTTACTGTTCATCTGCATATAATATTTTCTTTCTCTGGCAAGACAGTGTGTGGGCTGATTAAACGTGAACTACACACGATTTTCATTTCATCACACAAACAACAGTCCTGGGAGCACTCTCTGACACCATTTACACTGACCATTTAATGCAGTTTCAAACCAGTATTGAAGAAAGTGGTTTCACTGTGCACAGGCCCATAGCCAGGATTTTGATTTGGGGGGAGCTGAGTTTGCTTGGGGGGGGGGGCTGAGTCTGAGTGAAAGAGGGTCTACCCTAGCAAACCTTTTGTATCGTTACCCCAATACCCCCCATACATATGGGATATATTGAGCATGGTGATCAGATCACGATATGAATAAACATAACAGTTTAAATAATGCACCAGTAAGGCCTTCTTGCGGACCACCATGAGAATTGGGGGGGGGGGTGAAGCCCCTCAAGCCCCCCCCCCTCCGGCTACACATGCCTGACTGTACAAATTATTAAATAGTAAATTCTGGAATCACTTTTCACATTAAATAGTAAATTCTGGATGCCCAGATGGTGATGACACAAACCAGAGAGCACTGATGCGCATTAAGGTCTTTCTTTTGCACACTTTTGTGTGAGTTTGTTCTTTAGCTGCCACTTTGGAGCGAGCCTCAAACTGCATTAAACGGTCAGTGTAGATGGAGCTGCTAATAAATTGGTGGCTATTGTCCTTCTGGGTCTTGCAACCCGTCCTCTGAATCTTGGATTCAATCCAGGTTTAAACAGAGATCAGCTCCCAAGAAGGCATTAGAGACAGAAAGCGTCGGGCGTCTGTGTTGTTAAAAAGTGGGAAACCCTTGCATGGTCAGTGCAGAGAAGCTGTGAGAAGCTGATTGGAGTTAGTGAAGCCATTCGTGAGAAGGGAAGCAAGCTGAAATCCACCTGAAATGCACAGGGCTTTCCTGCAACCCTCCACCATGAAGTGTGAAAACTTCCAACAAATTGGCTTTCTTACCTTGCAGACTTAAGAAAAGAAAATGGCAATGGCTTTGGTGCCACTTAGTGGCTAGAACCTGCAAAACACATTTTCAGAATATTCAAGCTTCAGATGGGGGAGGCTGTCAGAGGGAGAGGAACCACAGAATCATAGAATCAAAGAGTTGGAAGAGACCTCATGGGCCATCTAGTCCAACCCCCTTCTGCCAAGAAGCACGAATATTGCATTCAAATCACCCCTGACAGATGGCCATCCAGCCCCTGTTTAAAAGCTTCCAAAGAAGGAGCCTCCACCACACTCCAGGGCAGAGAGTTCCACTGCTGAACAGCTCTCACAGTCAGGAAGTTCTTCCTCATGTTCAGGTGGAATCTCCTCTCTTGTAGTTTGAGGCCATTGTTCCGCGTCCTAGTCTCCAAGGAAGCAGAAAACAAGCTTGCTCCCTCCTCCCTGTGGCTTCCTCTCACATATTTATACATGGCTATCATATCTCCTCTCAGCCTTCTCTTCTTCAGGCTAAACATGCCCAGCTCCTTAAGCCGCTGCTCATAGGGCTTGTTCTCCAGACCCTTGATCATTTTAGTCGCCCTCCTCTGGACACATTCCAGCTTGTCAATATCTCTCTTGAATTGTGGTGCCCAGAATTGGACACAATATTCCAGGTGTGGTCTAACCAAGCAGAATAGAGGGGTAGCATGACTTCCCTAGATCTAGACACTATGCTCCTATTGCTGCAGGCCAAAATCCCATTGGCTTTTTTTGCCGCCACATCACACTGTTGGCTCATGTTTAACTTATTGTCCACGAGGACTCCAAGATCTTTTTCACACGTACTGCTCCCAATCCAGGCATCCCCCATTCTGTATCTTTGCATTTCGTTTTTCCTGCCAAAGTGGAGTAGCTTGCATTTGTCACTGTTAAACTTCATTTTGTAAGTTTTGGCCCATCTCTCTAATCTGTCAAGATTACTGTTGGAAGAAACCACAAGGGCTAATGTTTGGGTGGAATCTATTTTCCTGCAATCTGAATGCACCGCCCCACTGTGTTTTGGTCTCCTGAGTGGCATAAAACCTCCTCTTCATTGTGACATCATTCCAAATATATGAATCTGTCTGTCACGTCCCCTTGTCTCAGCCTACTTTTCTTTGCATTCATGTATGCTTTCCAGAATGGCTTCCAAGCATTGAAACATTCAAAACCATGCAATCTGCAAATGTCTTCCTGCATTCAGAGCTATACCATGACTCTTTTTCAAAGCCAAATCCAATCTAAACATTCCCTATCCCGAAACTTCCAGTCAATCCACTCACAACATGCCTTGCTTACTGTAGGATGAAAAGAGTTCTTGGGATTGTTTATATTATTTATGATATTACTAACATTTCTAGACTTCTAGGACAAGTTTTTTTTAGTATTTATGGCCCCTTTAGGCTGCTTGTGGCACAGATACTGCCCCTCCGGATGTTATAACATATTCAGGCACAGACAAGGCAAGAAATGAAAGAGCAGAAAAAAGCCAGCCAAGAAACACAATATTTGAGTGTTGAATGAAAAGTAATGCCTCCACCTTTGTAACTCCTCAACAGATGGCACTCCTGGTAGGCGGCAGGTACTGGCTTGTTCAGTAGACTCTCCTCTACAGTTCCATTTTGACAGGAAGCCTTAGCATTGAACAGTTGTGTTGCTAAAGTGCGAAGTATGGAACCCTGCGCAGACAGTTTGTCAATGCAACTTAAGCATCATGCAGTCGTTTCTGGAAGCGACTGCACGATGCTTAAGTTGCATTGACCAACCATCTGTGCAGGGTTCCATACTCTTAATGAGTGGCTCTTAATGAGACATGCCGCTTTATCATGGCATGTCTGTGCCCTACACCACTGTAGAAATTACACTGTTTAGCCGGTATTGCACCACCTGACATCCGCCAGGAAGTAGCAGCCAATAGTGAAAGGACCAAGGCAGAGACATCTCCAGCTCATCCCCTGTTTGGGTATCAGCCAGCACGTCAATGACTGAAATCAAGAAATAGTTTTCTAAGATCTACAGAGACACTCGCTGGAACACCCCAGCAAGCAAGAGTCCAAAAGTGGCAGGCTCAAACCCATAACCTCAATCAATGGCTGATACCCAATGAGCGACTCCCCCCTGGGCACACAGAAAACTGGGCAAGTTGGAAGACGCTGAACAGACTGCGCTCTGGCACCATGAGATGCAGAGCCAACCTTCAGAAATGGGGCTACAAAGTGGAATCCATGACATGCGAGTGTGGAGGAGAGCAAACCACAGACCACCTGCTGCAATGCAACCTGAGCCCTGCCACATGCACCATGGAGGACCTCCTTGCGGCAACACCAGAGGCACTCCAAGTGGCCAGATACTGGTCAAAGGACATTTAATCAACTACCAAGCTTGCAAACTCTGTGTTCTGTCTGTCTGTTTGTTTGTTTTTGTTAAAAATGTAATACAAATGTCTGGTTGCTGCTGACACGTTCTCTGAGGAACCTTCTTTGGGCAGTCAAGTATTCAATGACTGCACGATATATATATATATATATATATATATATATATATATATATATAGTGCAGTCATTGAATACTTGACTGCCCAAAGAAGGTTCCTCAGAGAATGCAAGCTATTTATGGTGATTGTGTTGATGTGAGTACTGTGCGTCGTTGGGAGAGTGAGTTTAAAGATGTTGAGTTGGGAACATCTGACTTGCATGACAAACAGAGAGTTGGACGTCCTGTGACAGCAACCATAGAGTTTCACAAACAAAAGGTTGACAGATTGATTCAGGATGATTGTCATATCACTCAGAGAGAAATTTCAAGCATAATCAGCATTTCACAAATGTGGGTCTCATTATTGCTTTGCTTGGCTATCGGAAGATCTGTGCATGATGGGTTGTGGAAACAGAGTGTCGACTTCTTCTGTGACGGCTTCAGAAAGCTTGTTCATCGTTGGCAGAAATGTACCCAATTGTCTGGTGATTATGTTGAAAAGTGAATACTGATAGTTAAAGAGCACATTCTAAGGGTTATTTCTGCGTTCGATTTATTAAAACATTTCCATCCAAACTCAAGTAACGAAGGTGGAGGCATTACTTTTCATTCAACCCACATATAAATAAAATGGCACTTTGGGGTGGAATTCAGGTTATTGTTCCAGGAGAGCAAGGACTTGGGCATCTTACCTGAAAAGATGAGCTTCTCTTTCATGATGTTGACGTCCCGGCTGGACCGCCGGACAGCAGCGCTGAGCATGATCTGCTCCGGGTTGTACGTCCGGATGCTCCCAAAGCGCCACCTGCAATGGAGGAGGAGGAGGTCAAGGACTGCGCCTCCCAATCCACCCAATCCTCTTTTCACAGTTGCATGGAGTTCGGATGGAGAGCCCTTATTCTGCATTTCTTGCAATGGGCACCCCACTAATAAGAGGAACCAGTACGAATACAGCTGTCATTCGATTGCCATGTACAAAAACATGATGATTATTAAAAACCTTTGGGGCTGAACTCATTCTATGCAAATCTTCACACATCCATGGTTTTATATCATTTTAAGTTCATTCCCAGAGATGGGAATCTTGTGGCATTCCAGATGTAGTTTAACTGTAGTCCCAGCAGCTTAGGTCAGCAGAACCAATGGAGTTGCAGTCCAACAACTGCAAGTTCACACAATTCCCATCTTGCTCAACATATTAAGGTCCTAGTAAGGTGGCCTTCTGCAGCTGGCAGATGGTAATTTTGTCAGCGCTGATTGTTTTTAAGTGCAAGCCAAGGTCTTTAGGCACTGTACCCTGTCAGGAGCCGGTTTCCAGGCCTTTGGTTTTGGCGCTAAAAACCAGGATCCTGACATGCAACGCTGATAAGAAATGTGCAGCTGGTGACCTCGGGGAGAGCAGTTGGCATTTGGCGGGAATGTTGCGCAGGACTCTTGGCTGGCGGGAAAGGGGATTTCGAATGTGGGGGAGGGTATATAAGGGTTGACCGGCAGCTGCTAGTCAATCCTGGCTTTCTTTGTGTCCGAACGTACCGCAGTAAAAGTTTCTGATTGATTACGGATTGGAGTCCTGTGTCATTATTGGGAACGGCTGTTGTGAGCTCACAGTACCCAGTGTGCTCATCGCCACCGTATTGTTGTTGTTATTATTATTATTATTATTATTATTATTATTATTATACAATTACTATACTTATCATTATACAATTACTATACTTATCATTATTCGGCCCTCCAGGTGTTTTGGACTTCAACTTCCATAATTCCTAACAGCCTCAGTCCTCTTCCTTAAGTGGCTGAGGGAGGAAAGGGAAAGGCCTGAGGCTGTTAGGAATTGTGGGAGTTGAAGTCCAAAACACCTGCCGGGCCCATGCCTGATGTAAACAAATAGACAAACATGGTGCCTTGTATATCTCAACACCAGTTCCCCCTTCACTAGGAAAATGAACCATCTCGAACATAACTGAACCCAAACATAGTGTTTCCTGGATAACATATTAATTCCGCAATGCAGGGTCACATAGGGGAGATTATGGGAAAGGATCAAAAGGGTCCACAACATGCTTTAGAGAAGCAGGAGAAACTCAAGGTTAGCAAAACTCTTGTCCCAGTTTGGAGACTGAGCAATTCACACCAAGCCTTGACAAAGCAAGAAGAGGAAAAGCATGGATAGCATTCTGCCTACTACTTGGAAAATTTACATTTTTGGACCAAAACTTCCAGATGGCAGGGTGATTCTGGGAACGATAGCCTAAAACTATAAATGCCCCAAGTTTTGATTCTACAATAAGATTGGAAAGGAGATGGCAAAGCAACACCATCATCTTATTTCATCAGTTAGGAAGAAGAGGTGGTTTTAGAGGGGAAAGGGTATTTAGGTCTCCTTTAAGAATGGAAAGCATGGCATTATTTGTTGTCAAAGGCTTTCATGGCTGGAATCACTGGGTTGCTGTGAGTTTTCCAGGCTGTATGGTCATGTCCCAGAAGCATTCTCTCCTGACGTTTCACCCACATCTATGGAAGGCATCCTCAGAGATTATCAAGTCTGTTGGAAACTAGGCAAGTCTTGTCTCTTTGAGGCAAGTGTGAATGTTGCAACTGGCCACCTTGATTAGCACTGAATGGTCTTGCAGCTTCAAAGCCTGGCTGCTTCCTGCCTGGGGCAGACCTTCTTGGGAAGTGTTAACTGGCCCTGATTGTTTCCTACCTGAAATTCCCCTGTTTTTCTGAGTGTTCCTCTTTATTTACTGTCCTGATTTCAGAGGGTTTTTTAAAATACTGGTAGCCAGATTTTGTTCATTTGCATGCTGCTGATCCAGTTCCGAGCACAATTCAAGGTGCTGGTTTTGACCTACAAAACCCTATACGGTTCCGGCCCAGCGTATCTGTCCGAATGCATCTCCCTTTACGTCCCATCTCGGAGTCTGAGATCCTCTGGGGAGGCCCTGCTCTCGACCCCGCCTCTGTCACAAGTGAGATTGGTGGGGACGAGGAGCAGGGCCTTCTCAGAGGTGGCCCCTCACCTATGGAATTCACTCCTCGGGGAGATCAGATCAGCAACATCCCTCCTTTCCTTCAGAAAGAAATTAAAAACATGGATGTGGGACCAGGTATTCGGGCAATCTGGCAGATGAATAAGGGACTGTGACAATGGATAGGAACTGGACAAGGTGGAACGAAATATGAACTCTGAGTGGCGAACGCTGTGTCTGAGATTGGCTATTGGTTGTGTGATATATTGTTGTTTTAATTGTTTTTAATTGTTGACCATTTAATTGCTGATTTTATATGTTATTGTATTGTGCAGGCACCAAGATGTGCCTTTTTGTAAGCCGCCCTGAGTCCCCCCTCAGGGGTTGAGAAGGGCGGGGTAGAAGTATACGAAATAATAATAATAATTTGTGGAAGTGAGCAGACATTGGATCTAGACTAAATTTGAAGCACAGACAAACAATGTCTTTCTTAAATAACCCGGGCATCGCCAGGTCCCCAAGCTAGTTTGCAAATAAAGTGTGTGTATGTCTATCTTCTTGCCTCTCAGCGCCTCATTGGGAAACCAGCCTTGGAGGTTAGAAGGCTAGCCTTTTAAAGGGGCAACACAACTAAGCTCCAAAAGAAAGTGTTAGGGTTGAGGGGTTTTTTCTTATCATTTCAGAAGCAACTTGAGAAACTGCAAGTTGCTTCTGGTGTGAGAATTGGCCATCTGCAAAGACGTTGCACAAGGGATGCCCAGATGTGTTACCGTCCTGTGGGACGCTTCTCTCATGTCCCTGCATGGGAAGCTGGAGCTGACAGACGGGAGTTCACTCCATCTCGTGGATTCGAACTGCCGACCTGCAGGTCAGAAGTTCAGCCGGCACAAGGGTTTAACCCACAGTGTTATTGCAGATTCCTGCTAGAGTGGTTAGAAGCTGCAAGGCCATTCAATGCTAATCAAGGTGGCTAATTGCAACATTCAACAGATAATCAAGGTGGCTAATTGCAACATTCAACTTGCCTCCAACAGATAAGAGTTCTTTCTCCAACCCCACAGGTACAGAAACCCCACTTGCCTAGTTTCCAACAATCCCCTCAACTTCTGAGGATGCTTGCCATAGATGTGGGTGAAATGTCAGTGGAGAATGCTTCTGGAACATAGCCAGACTGCCTGGAAAACTCACAGCAACCAATAATAATAATAATAATAATAATAATAATAATAATAATAATAATAATAATTTGAAACACAACAAGATAAGTCCACCGCAGATAAGATCATTCTGCTGGCTGTTGTATTGGATCACACGTCAAACAATTCTAAGTGTCTAGGATTGTGTGCTGTATCGGTGAATAACATGTGCAGATCCCAGTAGGGTGGCCTTTTGAAGCTGGCAGATGGTAATTTTGTCGGCACCAATTGTATTTAAGTGCAGGCCAAGGTCTTTAGGCACTGTACCCAGTGTGCCGATCACCACTGGGACCACCTTGACTAGTTTGTGCCAGAGTCTTTGCATTGTCAAAGGCTTTCATGGCCGGAATCACTGGGTTGTTGTAGGTTTTTTTCGGGCTATATGGCCATGTTCTAGAGGCATTCTCTCTTGACGTTTCACCTGCATCTATGGCAGGCATCCTCAGAGGTAGTGAGGTGAGGATGCCTGCCATAGATGCAGCGAAACGTCAGGAGAGAATGCCTCTAGAACATGGCCATATAACTCAAAAAAGCCTACAACAACCCAGACTCTTTGCAGTTCGATCTTTAAATCCTCATATTGTGTCAGCTTTTCCCATTGTTTCTCTTCAATCCTGCTCTTGCCTGGGATTGCAACGACGGTCCACACTCTGATGATGATGATGATTATTATTATTATTATTATTTGAAACACAACGAGTCCATAGCAAACAAGATCACTCTGCTGGCTGGTGTTTAGGATTGTGTGATGTATCAGTGAAAAATGCATGCAGATCCTAGTAAGGTGGCCTTTTGCAGCTGGCAGATGGTAATTTTGTCAGTGCCGATTGTATTTCAGTGCAGGCCAAGGTCTTCAGACACTGCACCCAGTGTGCTGATCATCACATATTATTATTATTATTATTATTATTATTATTATTATTATTATTATTATTATTATTCTATCATATATTGCTCTCTACAGATTCCTAGCAGAAATAATAACTCGATGCTTTCTAACTCCTTCTCCATTCATCATAACGAAGACACCTTAATCTACTAATTTAACATTTTCAATCAAGTTCATAAGATTATGTAAAGCTGGATCAACATTATATGAAACTACAACATATAGTCAGTGTACACCCATAAAATGCAGCTTCAAACTGCATTATATTGCAGTGTAGATGGGGCTCCAATGATCAAGAAGAAGGTCTTTTCCTAAGATTAAGAACACATTAACATGCAAATATTTTTAGATCTCGTATTATTTTTCCACTCCCAAAGAGGCAGACCACATCTGATTTTCCATTGCAAGACTGAATACTTGTTTCTTTGGTTGAAAACAGGTCGAAATATGGTTTAGTGATGCATCATTTCTTTGGGTTGCAGCCCTAGTCTAGGGACTAAAAATTGAACCCCAACCTTTCTCATCCACAAACACAGACACCAAAACCACAAAATGACAAAAGGCACACACAGCCCTAAAACAAAACAATGAGACAGCAATAACACAGAAACACATTAAGATTGCGTAACACAGATTGCAATAATAGAGCTCCACCTAGTGCTTTATCTTCACAAATGCATTTACAATCAGCCCTCCATCTTTGTCGCTTTGACTTTTGCAATTGCGATTATATTACATCAAACTGCATTATATGGTTGATGCAGACTCATATAATGTAGTTGAACTGCATAGAATGATTGTCAAGTATGAAGTGTTGGGCACATCCTTTCCAACCTGTCCCTTCACAAATAATTCCCATTTTTAGGAGACTTGAAGAGCACAGATGGGTACATTCACCCAACGCTATCCACAAAAAGGCAAAAAAAAAAAGGGGGGGGATTTGTGCTTCATATAATAACAGCAGGAAAGATAGAGGGTGATGATGATGGAAATACTGGGCTGGCAAAGCACTGATATGTGCAGAAGCAGCTTGGATGAGGCAAAAGAAGGCAAATGGCATCAGCTGGAAACTCGGCTTACTTTCCTGTCCTTCTAAATGGTACTAAGGGAGGGCACGTTTCCAGGCAAACAAGGGTTCCATATTCCAGTATGGGCTTCCTTTATGGGAAATGACACTAAGACCTCCACAGATGCATTTGTTGTTTAACATCTATATGCGACCACTTGCTCAGCTGGTTCGAGGTTTTGGGCTTGAGTGTTACCAGTACGCCGATGACACTCAGCTGGTGCTGAAGATGGAAGGCCGACCGGACTCTGTACCCGATTGTTTCCATCAGTGCCTCGAGGCCGTTACTGGATGGCTGCGTGCCAGCAGGTTGGGGGTGAATCCAGCAAAGACGGAGATCCTATGGCTGGGTCAACCGGGCAGTGGGGACATCCATCTGCCCACCCTGGATGGCGAGGCGTTACGCCCGTCATCATTGGTAAAGAGTCTGGGAGTCCTTTTGGACCCTCTGCTGATGAGGGAGGCCCAGGTCTCCAACGTTAGCAGAACCGCCTTTTTTCATCTGCGGCAGGCTAGACGGCTGGCCCCCTCCCTGTCCAGGGACGACCTAGCTACAGTGATCCAGGCTACGGTCATCTCAAGACTGGACTACTGTAACGCCCTCTACATTGGCCCTCCTCTGTCGGTGATCCAGAAGCTCAAGTTGGTACAAAACGCAGCTGCTCGGCTTCTTGCGGGAATTCCGATGAGATGCCACATCACCTCAATCTTACTCCAGCTGCATTGGTTACCCATTGAGCACCTGATCACTTTCAAAGTGATGGTACTCACCTTTAAGGCCCTGCATGATCTGGGGCTGATGTACCTGAGGGACCGCCTCACCCCCTACCAACCCCAGAGAGCCCTCCGTTCTGAGGACCAAGATCTATTGGAAATTCCCAGTGTCAAGACCTTGCGTCTAACAGCAACCAGATGCAGAGCCTTCACAGCAGTGGCACCATCGCTCTGGAATACTCTGCCACCTGAAGTCCGTGCCTTGCGGGACTTATCAGCTTTCCGCAGGGCATGTAAGACATACCTGTTTCGACAGGCATTTGATTTGTTATATTGCTGTTTTTAAATTGTTTTAAATTGTTTTTAAATTGCGTTAGATTTTAGCCATTCTTGTAAGCCGCTCTGAGCCCCAGGGGAGTGGCGGCATATAAATTCAAATTATAAATAAATAAATAAATAAATAAATAAATTTACACCAGGCATGGGCAAACTGGATTTGAGCACTGCCTCCAGATGCCGGAGACGGAAAGGGGGAAGCCTTTGCCTCTGTCTGTGTACTGTCTATCTTTGTTCTTAATTGTATAACGGCATTGAGGGTTTGCTATATATGTATTCTACAATCTGCTCTGAGTTTCCTCGGGGAGATAGAGCGGAATATAAATGAAGTCTATTATTATTATTTATCTCTTTTGGGGAGACATTTATCTCAGGACCAAAGCAGTGGAATATCAGCTGGAATTCATAGAATCATAGAATCCTTGAGTTGGAAGAGACCTCATGGGCCATCCAGTCCAAACCCCTGCCAAGAAGCAGGAATATTGCATTCAAATCACCTGACATCCAGCCTCTGTTTAAAAGCTTCCAAAGAAGGAGCCTCCACCACACTCCGGGGCAGAGAGTTCCACTGCTGAACGGCTCTCACAGTCAGGAAGTTCTTCCTCATGATCAGATGGAATCTCCTCTCTTGTAGTTTGAAGCCATTGTTCCGCGTCCTAGTCTCCAAGGAAGCAGAAAACAAGCTTGCTCCCTCCTCCCTGTGGCTTCCTCTCACATATTTATACATGGCTATCATATCTCCTCTCAGCCTTCTCTTCTTCAGGCTAAACATGCCCAGCTCCTTAAGCTCCTTAAACATAGGGCTTGTTCTCCAGACCCTGAATCATTTTAGTCACCCTCCTCTGGACACATTCCAGCTTGTCAATATCTCTCTTGAATTGTGGTGCCCAGAATTGGACACAATATTCCAGGTGTGGTCTAACCAAAGCAGAATAGAGGGGGGCATGACTTCCCTGGATCTAGACACTATGCTCCTATTGATGCAGGCCAAAATCCCATTGGCTGTTTTTGCCGCCACATCACATTGTTGGCTCATGTTTAACTTGTTGTCCACGAGGACTCCAAGATCTTTTTCACACGTACTGCTCTCGAGCCAGGCATTGGCCCCCATTCTGTATCTTTGCATTTCGTTTTTTCTGCCTAAGTGGAGTATCTTGCATTTGTCACTGTTGAACTTCATTTTGTTAGTTTTGGCCCATCTCTCTAATCTGTTAAGATTAGATCCTGAGGGACCTCCTATCTTTGTCTTTGAATTCTGCTCCTGTTGTCTGCAAACTTGATGATCATGCCTTCTAACCCTTCATCAAAGTCATTAATAAAGATGTTGAACAGGACCGGGCCCAGGACGGAACCCTGCGGCACTCCACTTGTCACTTCTTTCCAGGATTCCCTCTCTATTAACTAATATCTTTCCAGGAATAATCATACCACACATGGGATGCATTCTACAATTTTAAAAAGGTGATATAAAATAAAATTATGCACATTTCATCTGTATTTTGACCTTTGAGGAATGTCTTTTGGGGATCTCTATTTGCTCTCAAGCACGCTTGGCTTTTTGGTCTGCCTAACCTACTTAATCCCCAAATGAGACACAATCACATTTTGCAAACTATCCTGCCTTTTTGCTCAGGTTGTCAGTGGATTTGTCCCCCCTTAAAACAAGTTTCCAGGAAAGCGTCCTGCTTTAACCCAAAATCTGCGGCAATGTTTCAAATGAAAAGGGAAAGGAGGGGGAAAAAAGGAAAGACCAAAGGTGGGATGAGGAAGGAGGCATCAGAAATTACCTGATCATGTGATAGCTGTAAAGATGCCAAAATGCAGCAGCAGAGAGGAAGAGAAAGAGAGAAAGAGAGAAAGGAAGGAAGAGGAACATGCAACAAACGTCAGAGCAGTAAGAAAAATAAACAAGGCAAGGAGGAAAAGAGAGATTCCCTCCTTTGAAGTCACCTTTTGATCCATTATTCCTTTTCCAAAGAGCAAGGCTTCCAGAGAGAGAATCCAAACAAAATTCTAGCTGTTCATTTGAGAAACCAAACTGGGGGGAAAACAGCATCCAACCATCTTCTTTAAATTAGAATAACCTCAATTTTTGCAGGTAGGGAATAGGACCTGGTATATTCCACATTGTTTCTGGACACTACAAATCTGCAATCGTGGCTTCCATATCAGTAAATCCACTCCTTATTTGGCTTCAGATCTTGTAGGCGCTATCCAAGGTGCTGAAAGCTTTTTTGGAAGGCAATTTCAATTTTGGTATTATAAACATTTTTAAGGGCCATATTTTATCCACTCTTGTTAATGTTTTCCCTTCCCATTTCTTGATTTGTTTCTCTGTTACTTTCCATATTTTCTTATAACATCCCTTAACTATATTCTTTGGGTTGTTGTAGTTTTTTTCGGGCTATATGGCCATGGTCTAGAGGCATTCTCTCCTGACGTTTCACCTGCATCTATGGCAAGCATCCTCAGAGGTAGTGAGTACCTCTGAGGATGCTTGCCATAGATGCAGGCGAAACGTCAGGAGAGAATGCCTCTAGACCATGGCCATATAGCCCGAAAAAACCTACAACAACCCAGTGATTCCGGCCATGAAAGCCTTTGACAATATATTCTTTGGGTTTTTGTATGAGGGTTGAATGAAAAGTAATGCCTCCACCTTCGTAACTCCTCAACAGATGGCAGTACTGGTAATGCGGCAGGTACTGGCTTGTTCAGTAGACTCTCCTCTACAGTTCCATTTTGGCAGGAAGCCTTAGCATTGAACGGTTGTGTTGTTAAAGTGCAAAGTATGGAACCCTGCGCAGATGGTGGTCAATGCTACTTAAACAATGTGCAGTCATTGAATTATTGACAGCAGAAGGTGTCACCTCAACATCTTTAAACTTACTCGCCCAATGACGCACAGTACTCACATCAACACAATCACCATAAACAGCTTGCATTCTCTGAGGAATCTCCTTTGGGGTGACACCTTCTGCTGTCAAGAATTCAATGACTGCACATTGCTTAAGTCGCATTGACCGACCGTCTGTACAGGGTCCCATACTTCAAACTTTATCAACACAACCACTCAATGCTAAGGTTTCCTGCCAAAATGGAACTGTAGAGGAGAGTTTACTGAACAAGCAGGACCTGCTGCATACCAGGACTGCCATCTGTTGAGGAGTTACGAAGGTGGAGGCATTACTGTTCATTCAACCCTCATATATCCATATTCCTAAATAGTTTTACTTCTTCAATCCTAATCTCCATCCTGAGATTTTCCTAATCTCCAATTGTTCCCTTGGTGGGTGTTAAGACAACAATATCTCTGATTTATTAATGTTAACATATAATCCTGATAATTTCTTAAATTCCTCCAATTTTTAATCATATCTTTCACCAGAGATAAGGGTTGACTTGTAATAAGCATTGCATCATCCGCAAAAAAATTAGGTCTTATTCCTTCCTTCTCTATTTTATAACCTGTCCAGTTAGTGCTATCCCTGATACTTTTAGCTAATATTTCTATAGCTATTACAAATAAAGTCAGGAATAGTGGACAACCTTGTTTTGTACCATTTAAGATTGGGTTTTTCCCGTTCTTTCATTATTCACCTTTATGTTGCCCCTATGATGCACGTTCCCCCATCCTAAACTGAATGCCTACCCCACTGTTTATTCTTTTTGGATCCCCCTTAATTACATATTTTTAATCCTACCTCATCCAAGGTTTTATTATTTTACCTCCTCCATTTGGCCTGCCCATTCTGTTCAATTTCATATTGTGTTAATTTGTTTTATTTATCCTATTTTGCTACTGTACATGTTTTATTTTGATGTAATGTTTTATTGTCTTCATTCTGTGTTTTATTTTGTTGTGTTGTATCTTTGGGCTTGGCCTCATGTTAGCCGCCCCGAGTCCCCTTCGGGGAGATGGTGGTGGGGTATAAATAATAATAATAATAATAATAATAATAATGATTATTATTATTATTATTATTATTATTATTATTGCGCAGTAGGTTAAACCCCTGTGCCGGCAGGACTGAGGACCGACAGGTCGCAGGTTATTTATTTATTTATTTATTTGGTTCATTTGTATACCGCTCTTCTCAGCCCTCAGGCGACTCAGAGCGGTTCGAATCCGGGGAGAGGCGGATGAGCTCCCTCTATCAGCTCCAGCTCCTGTTGTGGGGACATGAGAGAAGCCTCCCACAAGGATGATAAAAACATCAAAATCATCCAGGCATCCCTCTGAGCAATGTCCTTGCAGACGGCCAATTCTCTCACACCAGAAGCGACTTGCAGTTTCTCAAGTCGCTCCTAAGACGACAATTTTTTTTTTACTGACACCACAGTATGTCACAGCAAATGAGATCTATATGCTGGATTTCATATCACAAAATCACAAGTCGAACACTTCCAAAGCGTCTAGGACTGTGTGATGTATTTTCAAATGATGCGCGCAGATCCAAGTAAGGTGACCTTTTGCAGATTGTGATTTTGTCAATTTTTTTTGTTTCCAAATGGTGGCTGAGATCTTTTGGCATTATTATCCAATGTGCCTATTATTATTATTATTATTATTATTATTATTATTATTATTATTACCACTTTGCAATTACTATACAATTGTATTGTCGAAGGCTTTCATGGCCGGAATCACTGGGTTGTTGTAGGTTTTTTCGGGCTACATGGCCATGGTCTAGAGGCATTCTCTCCTGACGTTTCGCCTGCATCTATGGCAAGCATCCTCAGAGGTAGTGAGGATGCTTGCCATAGATGCAGGCGAAACGTCAGAAGAGAATGCCTCTAGACCATGGCCATATAGCCCGAAAAAAATCTACTATACAATTGTTGCAGTGTTCTGCAAAAATTTTCTCCCATGTTCAATTGCTGACATAATTTTAACAAGAACTTATGATCAACTTTATAAAAAAAATCTTTATAGATATCAAATTTAAGAATTCCCAATTTTTTCTTATTTGAATTTGCATGATCCATTGCAATTTCCACATTTTTATTGCATCCCCAATTCTTCTTCCCTAATTCTTGGGAGGTGATTTCAGCACTTTGGATATCTCATTGCAATTTCCAGCTAACACTTGGAGTGGCTTTTCTGCCCCACCGCCTCACAACCTCAACATTATTCATCTGAACTTTGTGTGTAAATAAACACAAAGGGATTCCTTGAACGTGCTAAGCAACATAGCAAATAGGTTTCAAGTTCTGCCTTAAATTTAACTTGAATTTGCTTAACCAATTCCACATTTAAAATACCATCCAGCACATTTTGCCTGCATTAAAATATATTTCAGAAATTTCCACCTGTCCTCATTTTTTGTAGTATTCCCTTTTTTGGTTGGAGAGCTTTCTTTTTAGCTACCTGCTTAAGTACTAGTGGATTTTACCTGCTGTTTCTCTCCCTATTCCCTTAATTCTCCCTTTTTTCCTCTTTGTCAAACATGGACCCAGTTCTTTTTAAATATGGACACTATATTACAAAATAGGAACTGGAAACCTTGACATTGGATCCACTCGGCATTCCTTGACCACCTAAGAGATGGAGAAGCTCGTATTTGTTGTTGAAGGCTTTCATGACTGGAATTACTGGGTTGCTGTGAGTTTTCTGGGCTGTCTGGCCATGTTCAAGAAGCATCCTGTCCTAATGCTTCACCCAAATCTATGGCCAATACCTCAGAGGTTGTGAGGTCTGTTAGAAACTAGGCAAGTTAGGTTTATATACCTGTGAAATAATGTCAGGATGGGAGAAAGAGCTCTTGTCTGTTTGAGGTAAGTGTGAATGTTGCAATTGGCCACCTTGATTAGCACTGGATGGCCTTGCAGCTTCAAAGCCTGGGTGCTTCCTGTCTGGGGGAATCCTTTGTTGGGAGGTGTTAACTGATCCTGGTGGTTTCCTATTTGGAATTCCCCTGTTTCATGGCTGGAATCACTGGGTTGTTGTAGGTTTTTTGGGCTGTATGGCCATGTTCCAGAAGCATTATTTCCTGACATTTTGCCCACATCTATGGTAGGCATCCTCAGAGGTTGGAAACTAGACAAGTGAGGTGTATATATCTGCGTAATGTCCAGGGTGGGCGAAAGTCTTTGAATTCAACCCCACACTGCTCAAATCTCAAGTCCTCAATGTGGAACAGTTTAGTTAGCTTAGTGTAGACTAAGGGTTCCTCTTCCCCATGTCTCTTGTATGACAGTAGGGAATGTATCTTTTTCTTCTCTGTTCTCTCTTTCCACTCACATTCAGATTGGTTGTTTAAAATGGATATTTTTTTACTGCAAGTTTTTTGAATCTGACTTTTGTATGGAGTGTATGTACTGTGTGCTTTGAGATCTCTCTCTGCTTGTGTGTCAGGAGAGATGTCATGACTAAGTTTTTCCCTCTCCTGAAACCTTACAAGAGATGGTTGTTGGAATAGATCAGACTTAGTACTTGATTATTAAGAAATGCAGTTATTTCTTATTATTGTAAATAAACATTTTTGTGATTTTTAAGACTGAACTCTTCATCTTTGCCTGTCTAAGCTCTTAATTCTTTGTGGCCACTTCATACGGCACTTCACGCTCTGCTAGCTGTGAGCTGATTGCACAACTTTTTGTATCTTGTTTATGTTTTTGGATGCTCTGCTATTTTAGAGTAGTTTTCCCTAATAGAATAGAATCCTAGAGTTGGAAGAGACCTCATGGGTCATCCAGTCCAACCCCATTCTGCCAAGAAGCAGGAAATTTGCATTCAAAGCACCCCTGACAGATGGCCATCCAGCCTCTGTTTAAAAGCTTCCAAAGAAGGAACCTCCACCACACTCCGGGGCAGAGAGTTCCTGTAACTTGGGGATGCATTGTGTACTATATTTTGCCAAAGAAGTGGCCCATGGATGCTCTCTAAGCCAACATTGCAAAGTATGATCTTCAAGTATAGTAGTTAGACCATGTGTTAGTATAGTGGTTAGACCATGAAGTGGAATCAACCCATCACTTCTATCTAGTACAGATAATAATAGAATCCTAGAATCGAAAGTTGGAAGAGACCTCATGGGCCATCCAGTCCAACCCCATTCTGCCATGAAGCAGGAACATCGCATTCAAAGCACCCCCGACAGATGGCCATCCAGCCTCTGTTTAAAAGCTTCCAAAGAAGGAGCCTCCACCACACTCCGGGGCAGAGAGTTCCACTGCTGAACGGCTCTCACAGTCAGGAAGTTCTTCCTCATGTTCAGATGGAATCTCCTTTCTTGTACTTTGAAGCCATTGTTCTGTGTCTTAATCATAGACTCAAAGAGTTGGAAGAGACCTCATGGGCCATCCAGTCCAACCCCCTGCCAAGAAGCAGGAATATTGCATTCAAATCACCCCTGATAGATGGCCATCCAGCCTATGTTTAAAAGCTTCCAAAGAAGGAGCCTCCACCACACTCCGGGGCAGAGAGTTCCACTGCTGAACGGCTCTCACAGTCAGGAAGTTCTTCCTCATGTTCAGATGGAATCTCCTCTCTTGTAGTTTGAAGCCATTGTTCCAGTGCGTCCTAGTCTCCAGGGAAGCAGAAAACAAGCTTGCTCCCTCCTCCCTGTGGCTTCCTCTCACATATTTATACATGGCTATCATATCTCCTCTCAGCCTCTCTTCTTCAGGCTAAACATGCCCAGCTCCTTAAGCCGCTCCTCATAGGGCTTGTTCTCCAGGTCTTGTTTGTTAGGGGGCAAGTGTGAATGCTGCAATTGGCCACCTTGATTAGCATTAGCATTGCAGCTTCAAAGCCTGGATGCTTCCTGCCTGGGGGGGATCCTTTGTTGGGAGGTGTTAGCTGGCCCTGATTGATCCCTGTTTAGAATTCCCGTTTTGATTTTAGAGGGTTTTTTTAAAATACTGGTAGCCAGATTTAGTACATTTTAGTGGTTTCCTTCTTTCTGTTGAAATTGTCCACGTTTGTGGATTTCAATGGCTTCTCTGTGCAATGTGACATGGTGGCTGTCAGACTACACCAACCATGTCAGACTACACAGAGAAAGCATTGAAATCAACAGCCCGGAAAACTCACAGCAACCCAAGCTCCTATCTATCTGCAAGTTATTTGCAGTTTTCTATGTTAGCATGTTGACCTATTGCTCTTTATACACTTTTTACAATCTTGTCACTGGAAAGAACAGCAGCTTTAGGTTTTCATCCCACTCAATCTTTTACCAGCGCTACCAGATTGGGACCCCAGAGCTCTATTATGGTCAACTCTCCATGGCTAATGCTGTAACTTTTCAGACTCTTGCCTTTAAACCATCACCACTAAATCCTTGCTCAGCCTTCACCAGCACTTTGGTGCAATCTTCCACCTCTGTTTTCAATTCCAGTGCAGGATAGACCACCCTATTTGGCTCGGAGAGGGATATGATTGGGTTCCCATTACTCTACATAACCTCAGAGAGCATTTGGGGGGTACAAGTTGTATTTGGCTGGGTGTTTATGACTTCCAGATTCAGGAAGAAGGAACGGCTGACAGCACTATGAAAACATTGGCCAAGGTTACTTACTTCTGGAATATGAACACTCCTATGATGATGAGAAATGAAATGAGATCAGCGATGATCCACATCAGATAGTATTCATCCGGAGTCTGGGAGACAAAAAGGAAGACAAGAAGAAACCCAATATATGTTGGATTAATACAAAAGTAGAGGACATGAACTGAATAAGGATGAAGTCATAGAATCATAGAATCAAAGAGTTGGAAGAGACCTCATGGGCCATCCAGTCCAACCCCATTCTGCCAAGAAGCAGGAATATTGCATTCAAATCACCCTGACAGATGGCCATCCAGCCTCTGTTTAAAAGCTTCCAAAGAAGGAGCCTCCACCACACTCCGGGGCAGAGAGTTCCACTGCTGAACGGCTCTCACAGTCAGGAAGTTCTTCCTCATGTTCAGATGGAATCTCCTCTCTTGTAGTTTGAAGCCATTGTTCCTGCGTCCTAGTCTCCAGGGAAGCAGAAAACAAGCTTGCTCCCTCCTCCCTGTGGCTTCCTCTCACATATTTAGACATGGCCCTCATCATATCTCCTCTCAGCCTTCTCTTCTTCAGGCTAAACATGCCCAGCTCCTTAAGCCGCTCCTCATAGGGCTTGTTCTCCAGACCCTTGATCATTTTAGTTTCCCTCCTCTGGACACATTCCAGCTTGTCAATATCTCTCTTGAATTGTGGTGCCCAGAATTGGACACAATATTCCAGGTGTGGTCTAACCAAAGCAGAATAGAGGGGTAGCATTACTTCCCTGGACCTAGACACTATGCTCCTCTTGATGCAGGCCAAAATCCCATTGGCTTTTTTTTGCCGCCACATCACATTGTTGGCTCATGTTTAACTTGTTGTCCATGAGGACTCCAAGATCTTTTTCACACGTACTGCTCTCGAGCCAGGCATCCCCCATTCTGTATCTTTGCATTTCGTTTTTCCTGCCAAAGTGGAGTATCTTGCATTTGTCACTGTTGAACTTCATTTTGTTAGTTTTGGCCCATCTCTCTAATCTGTCAAGATCGTTTTGAATCCTGCTCCTGTCCTCTGGAGTATTGGCTCTCCCTCCCAATTTGGTGTCGTCTGCAAACTTGATGATCCTGCCTTCTAGCCCTTCATCTAAGTCGTTAATAAAGATCCTGAACAGGACCGGGCCCAGGACGCAACCCTGCTTGTGGCCCTCTGCTTGTCACTTCTTTCCACGATGAAGAGGAAGCATTGGTGAGCACCCTCTGGGTTCGTCCATTTAACCAATTACAGATCCACCTCACCGTAGTTTTGCCTAGCCCACATTGGACTAGTTTCCTTGCCAGAAGGTCATGGGGGACCTTGTCGAAGGCCTTCCTGAAATCCAGGTACGCCACATCCACGGCATTCCCCGCATCTACCCAGCTTGTAACTCTATCGAAAAAAAAGCTCAGCATTACACTCCCAGTCATATTTCCTTCAGTCAGTGAAGGCTAACATAAAGGCTTATGTGCCTTCTTGTTGGTCTCATTAAAGTATCACTAAAGCAGTGGTTCTCAACTTTCCTAATGCTGTGACCCCGTAATGCAGTTCCTAATGTTTTGGTGACCCCCAACCAGAAAATTATTTTCATTGCTACTTCATAACTGTGATTTTGCTACTGTTCAGAATCGTAATGTAAATATCTGATTTGCAGGATGTATTTTCATTCACTGGATGAAATTTGGCGGGGTTGGCAGGGGGTTGATTTTGTCATTTGGGAGTTGTAGTTCTTGGGATTTATAGTTCACCTACAGTGAAAGAGTGTTCTGAACTTCACCAATGATGGGAATGAACCAAACTTGGCACACAGAACTCCCATGACCAACAGAAATTACTGGAAGGGTCTTGGTGGGCATTGAGCTTGAGTTTTGGAGTTGTAGTTCACCTAACTCCAGAGAGCACCTTGGACTCAAACAATGATGGATCTGGACCAAACACTCCCCCTGAAGGTGCAGGTTCGCAGTTTGGGAGTTCTCCTAGATTCATCACTGAGCCTGGAGCCCCAGGTTTCGGCGGTGGTCAGGGAAGCTTTTGCACAATTAAAACTTGTGCGCCAGCTGCGCCCGTTCCTTGGGAAGTCTGACTTGGCCACGGTGGTCCACGCTTTGGTTACATCCCATTTAGATTACTGCAACGCTCTCTACGTGGGGTTGCCTCTGAAGACTGCCCGGAAGCTGCAGCTAGTCCAACGAGCGGCAGCCAGACTACTAACGGCTGCTGGGTACAGGGAGCACACCACTCCGCTGTTACACCAGCTCCACTGGCTGCCAATTAGCTTCCGAGCACAATTCAAAGTGCTGGTGTTAACCTATAAAGCCCTAAATGACTTCAGCCCTGTTTACCTCTCCAAACGTATTCTCCCCTATGAACCATCAAGATTATTAAGATCGTCTGGAGAGGCCCTGATCTCGGTCCCACCGGCCTCGCAAGCGCATCTGGTGGGGACAGGGCCTTCTCGGTGGTAGCCCCTCGGCTCTGGAACTCTCTCCCACTGGAGATCAGAACCGCCCCTTCTATCCTGACATTTAGGAAACAGGTGAAGACTTGGCTATGGAGACAGGAAATCGACGAGTGAGTCAACACCCTGAGATATGGAAGGAGGATGATGAACAACGATTTTAGTGTGACGACTGCCCATTGTAGTTATTGATTGTAATTGATGTTTAAATGTTTTACTGTAATATGAATTATGATGTTTTATTGATTGTCTGTGATATTATGGTTGGAAACCGACCTGAGTCCCTCAAGAGAGGTGAGAAGGCCTTTCAGCCCTCCCTCCAGGTGTTTTGGACTTCAACTTCCATAATTGTGGGCCAAAAATTGCCCATGTCTGATGTAACAAAATTTGAAAAAAACTGTGTCTTGAAAGTATTATTTTCTGTTTAATTATGCAGTGCTTACTTTGAAAGTAGTTGTTCTACTCCAAAAACTTTGTCGTTATGGCTGTCACAAACTATATTGAATTGGTTGAGACTTGATGAGATATTCATTGAAGGACTATAGCCAAATGTGCTATAGAAGGATTCCCCTCCCGCAAAAACAAAGTATTTGCAGTTTAATAAATTAGTTCTATGTTTTTATGATAGAACTGATTAGAAAATGACATGGATAACAACCCAGGAACAAAAATCATGTTACATAATGTTATCTTTCAATGGTTCAACATGCATAAGATCTACAGAGACACTCACTGGAACACCTCAGCAAGCGAGAGTCCAAAAGTGGCAGGCTCAAACTCAGAACCTCAACCAATGGCTAATACCAAATGAAAGACTCCCTCCTGGGCACACAGAGGACTGGGCAACCTGGAAAGCACTGAATGGACTGCGCTCTGGCACCACGAGATGCAGAGCCAACCTTCAGAAATGGGGCCACAAAGTGAAATCCTCGACATGCGAGTGCAGAGAGGAGCAAACCACTGACCACCTGCTGCAATGCAACCTGAGCCCAGCCACATGCACAATGGAGGACCTCCTTGCAGCAACACCAGAGGCACTCCAAGTGGCCAGCTACTGGTCAAAGGACATTTAACCAACTACCAGACTCACAAGTTTTGTATTTTGTCTGTTTGTTTGCTTTGTTCTGTTAGAAATGTAATATAATGGTCTGATTGCTCTGACACAACAAATCAATAAATAACATGCATATTGGGGTGTATAGAGAAAAACTGAAACAAAACATTGCAGCTTGATAGACACAGAAATGGATGAAGTGCAAATGCTTTAGCAGCCACTAGATGTTGCTCTGAGCCACTAAATGGACAACGAAAACGAAAACGTGGCAGGAAAAGATTCAGCTGTCAATAGAAACAACTTTTGATTGTCAAGGGAACCCTGCATTTCCATACTGGAAAGAAAAGAGCATAAGCTCCCAACAGATGAGGCAAACTGCAGGAAAATAGATTCCACATTAGGAAGAGCATCCTGATGGTAAGAACTGTTCAACAGTAGAATATTGTGCTTGAGTGTCTGGTGGAGTCCCGGTAACACCAGAACTGGAAAGCCTTGGCCTTTGAGCACTCTAACTGGAGGTCAGCTGTGACCAGCAGTGCTGTAGAATTTGAAGAGGCACAAATGGAGGGCGAAAAATAGAAACATGCCAAGAAGAAGAGTCATCAAGCCAACCCTGACTGGGACTGCCTTCTACCTGGAAACTGATGTCCTCACTGCGAGAGAACATGCGGATCAAGAATAGGGCTCCACAGCCACCTAAGGACCCACAGCCAGAAAAGAGCATAAGCTCCCAACAGATGAGCCAAACTGCAGGAAAAGAGATTTCACCTAAACATTAGGAAGAGCATCCCGATGGTAAGAACTGTTAACAGTAGAATATGATGTTTGAGTGTCTGGTGGAGTCTCGGTGACACTGAGAACTGGGAAGTCCTGGCCCTTGATGCTCTAACTGGAGATCAGCTGTGACCAGCAGTGCTGTGGAATTCGAAGAGGCGCAAACGGAGGGTGAAAGGGAGAAACGTGCCAAGAGGAAGGCGTGTCAAGCCAACCCTGACCAGGACTGCCTTTCACCTGCAAACTGATGTCCTCACTGCAGGAGAAGATGTGGATCAAGAATAGGGCTCCACAGCCACCTACGGACCCACAGCCAGAACTGGGAAGCCCTGGCACTTGATGCTCTAACTGGAGGTCAGCTGTGACCAGCAGTGCTGTGGAATTCGAAGAGGCGCAAACGGAGGGTGAAAGGGAGAAACGTGCCAAGAGGAAGGCGTGTCAAGCCAACCCTGACCAGGAGTGCCTTCCACCTGCAAACTGATATCCTCACTGTGAGAGAAGATGTGGATCAAGAATAGGCCTCCACACCCACCTATGGATCCACAACCAGAAAAGAGCATAAACTCCCAACAGATGAGCCAAACTGCAGGAAAAGAGATTTCACCTAAACATTAGGAAGAGCATCCTAATGGTAAGAACTGTTTAACAGTAGAATATGATGCTTGAGTGTCTGGTGGACTCTCGGTGACACTGAGAACAGGGAAATCCTGGCCCTTGAGTGCTCTACCTGGAGGTCAGCTGTGACCAGCAGTGCTGTGGAATTTGAAGAGGCACGAATAGAGAGCCTCTTCGAATGGCAACGAAAAAAGAAACATGCCAAGAGGAAGGCGTGTCAAGCCAACACTGACCGGGACCGCCATCCACCTCCAAACTGATGTCCTCACTGCAGGAGAAGATGCGGATGAAGAATAGGGCTCCACAGTCACCTATGGACCCACCACCAAGACACCACATTTGGAAGACAATCATCCTCGAGCTATGAGGGATTGCCTAAGTAAGTAAGTAAAAAAGGTGGAGTCTCCTTCTCTGGAGGTTTCCAAGCAGAGGTTGAATGGCCATCTGTCAGGAGGGCTTTGATTGTGTGTTCCTTCCTGGAAGAATGGGGTTGGATTGGGTGGCCCTTGGAGTCTCTTCCAATTCTATGATTCTTTGTTCGCTCTGATATTGGGTGGTCCACCAGCAAGAAGCAAGCTTTGTAGGGCAGGCATGGGCAAACTTTGTCTCTCCAGGTGTTTTGGACTCCAACTCCCACAATTCCTAACTGTTAGGAATTGTGAGAGTTAAAGTCCAAAACACTTGGAGAGCCAAAGTTTGCCCGTGCCTTGGGATAACCAAGGGAAGACCCAAAACCACATTAAAAATGGCAAACTGTGTGTTTGGAAAATGGCATGAAACTTAAAAAGACTTACCATCAGCCAGGAAGGAGAAGACATCTTGCTGAGGGTGGGCACGTTGTCAGAGGTGATCGACTGGACCCCGCTGCACCAAAGGATGGAGTAAAGCCAGGGTTCGTTCACAATGTACAGGTTCACGCTCAAGTTTGCAGCTGCGTATTCCCTGTTGAAAGCAGGGACAGAAACAGGGGATGAGTCTGAAGGAGAAGCCTGATGAACAACATCACACATCATCATAACTTCTTGAACACACACTGATCTCATCTCGTTTAGGAAGATCACCAATGCATAACCAGCTGATCCCCAACCCATCTAAAACACAGACATGTGCCTTTCATCTCAAGAACAGAGAAGCATCCCGAGCTCTGTGGATCACCTGGGAAGGAATCCCACTGGAGCATTGCAGCGCACGCAAATACCTGGGAGTCACTCTGGACCGTGCTCTTACCTACAAGAAGCACTGCCTGACATCAAGCAAAAAGTGGGTGCTAGAAACAATATCATACGAAAGCTGACTGGCACAACCTGGGGATCACAACCAGACACAGTGAAGACATCTGCCCTTGCGCTATGCTACTCTGCTGCTGAGTATGCATGCCCAGTGTGGAACACATCTCACCACACTAAAACAGTGGATGTGGCTCTTAATGAGACATGCCGCATTATCACGGGGTGTCTGCGCCCTACACCAATGGAGAAATTACACTGTTTAGCATTGCACCACCTGACATCCGCCGGGAAGTAGCAGCCAATAGTGAAAGGACCAAGGCAGAGACATCTCCAGCTCATCCCTTGTTTGGGTATCAGCCAGCATGTCAACGACTTAAATCTAGAAATAGTTTTCTAAGATCTACAGAGACACTCACTGGAACACCTCAGCAAGCGAGAGTCCAAAAGTGACAGGCTCAAACCCAGAACCTCAACCAATGGCTGATACCAAATGAGAGACTCCCCCTGGGCACACAGAGGACTGGGCGACTTGGAAGGCGCTGAACAGACTGCGCTCTGGCACCACGAGATGCAGAGCCAACCTAAGAAATGGGGCTACAAAGTGGAATCCTCGACATGCGAGTGTGGAGAGGAGCAAACCACTGACCACCTGCTGCAATGCTCCCTGAGCCCTGCCACATGCACAATGGAGGACCTTCTTGCGGCAACACCAGAAGCATTCCAAATGGCCAGCTACTGGTCAAAGGACATTTAATCAACTACCAAACTCGCAAATTTTGTATTTCGTCTGTTTGTTTGTTTTGTTCTGTTAGAAATGTAATATAATGGACTGGTTGCCCTGACACGACAAAAAAAAAAAAACCAATGCATGACGATGGAGTTACTTCCTCTTCCACTGCCTTAGAGACACAGAGCAATGGATTCAAATTGCAGGAAAAGATTCCACCTAAACATTAGGAAGAACTTCCCAGCAGAAGAGCTGTGGAATCTTCTCCTGACTGGGAATCTGGTGGAATCTCTTTCTCTGTAGGTTTTTAAACAGAGGCCAGGTGGTCATCTGTGAAGAGTGCTTTGATTGTGTCTTCCTGCCTGGAAGAATGGGACTAGGGCGTATGGCCCTTAGGGCCTCTTCCCACCTTGTGATCTAATGCCGGAGACCACAAGAATACCTATTGAAGCCTTAGAAAACTTAGAAAACCTCACTACCTCTGAGGATGCTTGCCACAGATGCAGGCGAAATGTCAGGAGAGAATGCCTCTAGAACATGGCCATATAGCCCAAAAAAACCTACAACAACCCTTAGAAAACTACTTTCAGTTACCCAGAATTGAAATTATTGAGTTAGGTAAGAAATAGGGATGTGGAAGATTGTATAAGCATTCTCTCCTGACGTTTCACCCACATCCATGGCAGGCTTGAAGGGTCTGTTGGAAACTAGGCAAGTGGGGTTTATATATCCGTGGAATGTCCAGGGTGGGAGAAAGAACTCTTGTCTGCTTGAGGCAAGTGCTAATGTTGCAACTGGCCACCTCGATTACCACTGAATGGCCCTGCAGATTCAAAGCCTGGCTAATTCCTTGCAGATGCAAAGCCTGGCGGGAATCCTTTGTTGGGAGGTGTTAGCTGGCCCTATGCAGTTGTTTTGCATTGATATCCAAAAATGGTTTCCACCTGTTCCGTGGCTGGTTGCAACAAACAAACAAAACAAAGCCTCCCAAGCAAGTTCCTCTAAAGCCATAATTGAAAGCAAGACAGGTTGATTAAGGGTGATTAATGGGCAGGTTATTTCTGTGCATGAAGTAATTTCTGAATTAAATAAGGGAGCTTGGACTCCATTACAGCACCATGGTAACAATAGCAGCCAAAGAAGAGATAAAAGGAGCCGGCAGAAATAGCTCCTGAGTGGCAACCTGAACGCAAAAGGCCTCTTCTATGCGCACTGTCACAATGAACTCACACACTTCAGAATTTGCCACTAGGCTACCAAAGATGATTGACACATCTCCATTTCAATTTAGCATTTTAATCATGCTACAGCTCAAACCTGCAATGCTTTTTAATTGGAAGTAAGCCCACAGAGTTTGGTACTTATTCCCATGACAGCATACATAAAACTGCAAAATAAAACTAATTTAATGTATTGTCGGAGGCTTTCATGGCCGGAATCACTGGGTTGCTGTAGGTTTTTTCGGGCTATATGGCCATGTTCTAGAGGCATTCTCTCCTGATGTTTCACCTGCATCTATGGCAAGCATCCTCAGAGGTAGTGAGGATGCTTGCCATAGATGCAGGTGAAAGGTCAGGAGAGAATGCCTCTAGAACATGGCCATATAGCCCGAAAAAACCTACAACAACCCAAAACTAATTTATCTTTTCAATAAAAGGTATATCTGTGGGGTATTCGAGTATTGCAATAAATAATAATAATATGATGATTTTTTTTAAGTAGCAATAGTCAACAGATTTTACAGCCAACTATTTTAGTGATAGCCATGAGTGATAGCCAAGGCTGAGAGGAGACATGATAGCCATGTATAATGTGAGAGGAAGTTATAGGGAGGAGGGAGCAAGCTTGTTTTCTGCTTCCTTGGAGATTAGGATGCAATGAGCAATGGCTTCAAACTACAAGAGAGGAGATTCCATCTGAACATGAGGAAGAACTTCCTGACTGTGAGAGCCGTTCAGCAGTGGAACTCTCTGCCCCGGAGTGTGGTAGAGGCTCCTTCTTTGGAAGCTTTTAAACAGAGGCTGGATGGCCATCTGTCAGGGGTGATTTGAATGCAATATTCCTGTTCCTTGGAAGGGGGTTGGACTGGATGGCCCATGAGGTCTCTTCCAACTCTTTGATTCTATGAGTCTATGATTCTATGATCTGAACATCAGGAAGAACTTCCTGACTGTGAGAGCTGTTCAGCAGTGGAACTCTCTGCCCCAGAATGTGAGGGAGGCTCCTTCTTTGGAAGCTTTTAAACAGAGGCTGGATGGCCATCTGTCAGGGGTGCTTTGAATACATTTTCCCTGCTTCTTGGCAGGAGGTTGGACTGGATGTCCCATGAGGTCTCTTCCAACTCTAGGATTCTATTATCACTTCTCACATTTGGAAAAATTAAAATGATGGCCAGTAAAGAGAGAGCAATATTTGGAAGAGATGGAAAAGACTACCAAATAGATGGTTGCTTATTTTTATTGACCATTCTGCAAGTCGCTTGTGGTGCCTCAGAGAAGTGTGCTTGCTCCATCAATGTTTAACATTTACACAAATGACCAGCCACTACCAGAAGGGAATTTCATCTATGCTGACGATCATGCCATCACCACTCAAGCAGGGAGCTTTGGAATGGTTGAACAGAAGCTCTCTGAAGCTTTAGGTGCTCTTACTACCTTTTACAGGGATAACCAGCTGATTCCTAATCCACCTTAAGGTGTGCTTTTCACCTTAAGAACAGACAAGCATCTCAAGCTCTAGGATTACATGGGAAGGAACCCACTGGAGCATTGCATCACACCCAAATACCTGGGAGTCACTCTAACTTACAAGAAGCATTCCTTGATTATCAAGCAAAAAGTTGGTGCTAGAAATAATATCATACAAAAGCTGACTGGCACAACCTGGGGATCACAACCAGACAGAGTGAAGACATTGCAATATAATGGTGTAGTACAATATAATAATATATAATACTGATATTGTACTATGCTAATAATATAATATATTGTATGTATATATATCTTGTAAGCCACTCTGAGTCACCTTCAGGATGAGAAGGGCGGCATATAAATGTCGTAAATAAATAAATGCGTACATACATACATACATACATATGTATATATTAGCCAGTGACTTCCATGTCAAGAGGACAGTGAGGATTCTATGACACACATATATTATGTGTGCATATGTGTCATATATATATATATGACACATATGTCATATATATGTGTGTGTGTGTGTGTGTCATATATATATGGAGCCCCCGGTGGCGCAGTGGGTTAAAGCACTGAGCTGCTGAGCTTGTTGATTGAAAGGTCGCAGGTTCGATTCCGGGGAGCGGCGTGAGCTTCCGCTGTCAGCCCTAGCTTCTGCCAACCTAGCAGTTCGAAAACATGCAAATGTGAGTAGATCAATAGGTACCGCTCCGGCGGGAAGGTAACGGCGCTCCATGCAGTCATGCCGGCCACATGACCTTGGAGGTGTCTACGGACAACGCTGGCTCTTTGGCTTAGAAATGGAGATGAGCACCACACCCCAGAGTCAGACATGACTGCACTTAATGTCAGGGGACTACCTTTACCTTTATGTGTCATATACTATGGGATTTCAATCCCTAGCAGTTACACCTTGTTGCAAATCACAGGTACACAGAAAGCCTCATTACACTACGTAACAAAATTTGGGGAAAAACTGTTCCTGTTTTGAAAGTGTTATTTCCTGTTTAGTTGTGCGGCCCTAACTTTGAAAGTAGCTATTCTACTCCAGAAACTTCATTTTTGTGCCAGCCACAAACTCAGTTGAATTGGGTGAGACTCTAGGAGATATTCATTGACGAACTAGAGCAAAATGTGCTGCAGGATGTTCCACAAAAACAAAGTTTTTGCAGTTGAATAAAAAAATTCCATGTTTTTATGAGAGAACCAATTACGAAATGGCATTGATAACCCAGGAACAGAAATCATGTTACATAGTGTTATACAAGCAGCTGACAAGAGCTACTGCTCTTTTTGGGCACCACTCTCAAAAGCATGTGCAAGAGGCTGGATTTTCCACCCAGGAAGTTCCTTTAAATATAGAAAACTATATGGCAGTTTTCACATTCAGCAGCCATCTCTCCAACATGCTGTTTTTCCAACTGTGATAGTGGAAGCGGAGAGGAGCACCTGATATCTTCACCGGTGACCTTGGTGTAGCGCAGGTTCAGTTTCTGGAAACCTCTGTCCCGCAGCTGCTGTGCCTCTCCCTTGGTGCTAGACGTCTGCTGGAAACCGGGAGCAATTTCCTGAACCATCGTCCGGTCCGAATTGGGCAGCCACATTACCTGAAATGAAAGCAAACAAGCAAGTGCCATGACTATCATGAACTACATACAGAAGAGGAGAAAATCTCCAAAAACAAATATTAGATCAGTGGTTCTCAACCTGTGGGTCCGCAGGTGTTTTGGCCTACAACTCCCAGAAATCCCAGCTAGTTTACCATCTGTTAGGATTTCTGGGAGCTGAAGGCCAAAGCACAGGTTGAGAACCACTGCATTAGAAACAGGATTTAAAGATGGGCTCAAAGCCAACCTTAAAAACTGTGGCATAGACACCAAGAACTGGGAAGCCTGGGCCCTTGAGCGCTCCAGCTGGAGGTCAGCTATGACCAGCAGTGCTGTAGAATTTGAAGAGGCACGAATGGAGAGTGAAAGAGAGGAACATGCCAAGAGGAAGGCGCATCAAACCAACCCCAACTGGGACCGTCTTCTACCTGGAAACCAATGCCCTCACTTCAGGAGAACATGCAGGTCAGGAATGTTAATGTATGTGAATGTTTAAATGTAATTTTGTGGAATGCCTGTGAATGTAACCTGATTGCTTTAGCAGAGAGTACATTCACTCTGAAAGGGTTAATCAGTCAAATCTCTAATGAACTGTGAAGTTGTGACCCTGAGTGTGTCTGGAACACGTAGGGAAGATCCAGAGATAAGGTTCTGTTCGTCCTTCTTACTTCGATGTGTTTTTTGTCTTGTTCCTGTCTGTTTGGTTGGATGTAAATGCAAATGTGTGCTGTATATTTGCTCTACTCAGTAAAGCTAAATGTTTGCTTTTACTGAAGTCTCAAAGTGTCCATTCTTCTAAGCTTCAAAGCCTCTGTCGCACTCTGACAAAGAATAGGGCTCCACAGTCACCTACGGACCCACCGCCAGGGCACCGACTTTGGGGGACAATTTATTCGGACAATGAGGGATGGCCTAAATAAGGAAGCAAAGTGGAGAATATTCCCTGGTCAAAGTGGTCCCTGGTCAAAAAAAGGTTGGGAACCACTGACATACAGTCATTGTGCATGTGTGACTTTGACCAATGTGTCGGACTTGCCACAAAACAATGCCATCTCCTATCTATTTATGGAGACTCTTATGAGTTTCAGTGCTATTTTTAGGAATACCCAAAGGAAGTATGAAATACAGCCAGCAGCACCTAGTATCCACCAGCAGTCTCCCATTGGCAAAAAAAGCCAATGGGATTTTGGCCTGCATTAATAGGAGCCTAGTGTCTAGATCTAAGGAAGTCATGCTACCCTCTATTCTGCTCTGGTTAGACCACACCTGGAATATTGTGTCCAATTCTGGGCACCACAATTCAAGAGAGAAATTGACAAGCTGAAATGTGTCCAGAGGAGGGCAACTAAAATTATCAAGGGTCTGGAGAACAAGCCCTGTGAGGAGCGGTTTAAGGAGCTGGGCATGTTTAGCCTGAAGAAGAGAAGGCTGAGAGGAGATATGATAGCCATATATAAATATGTGAGAGGAAGCCACAGGGAGGAGGGAGCAAGCTTGTTTTCTGCTTCCTTGGAGACTAGGACGCAATGGAGCAATGGCTTCAAACTACAAGAGAGGAGATTCCATCTGAACATGAAGAAGAACTTCCTGACTGTGAGAGCTGTTCAGCAGTGGAACTCTCTGCCCCGTAGTATGGTGGAGGCTCCTTCTTTGGAAGCTTTTAAACAGAGGCTGGATGGCCATCTGTCAGGGGTGATTTGAATGCAATATTCCTGCTTCTTGGCAGAATGGGGTTGGACTGGATGGCCCATGAGGTCTCTTTCAACTCTTTGATTCTATGATCCCAACAAAACTGACTTTGCTTTACTTCCAAAATCAGTCAGAATCCGGTGCTTTTATTATAAAATGGAGTACCACATGCAGACAGGCCTTCCTGGTTCTCTTTGACATTATTGGATTCTTTTCATCTACTTTCCATGTGCAAAAGTGAGAGAAGCCTGTAGCAAACCTGACTTGAAAACAGTTTATGTGAAAGGAATCTAAAAGCCTTAGTAGACCACCTGCTGCAATGCAACCTGAGCCCTACCACATGCACAATGGAGGACCTCCTTGCGGCAACACCAGAAGCACTCCAAGTGGCCAGATACTGGTCAAAGGACATGAGTCAACAGTGTGATGCAGTAACTTTGTGTGTGTGTGTGTGTGTCAGGAGCGACTTCAGAAACTGCAAGTCTCTTCTGGTGTGAGAGAATTGGCCATCTGCAAGGACATTGCCAGGGGATGCCCGGATATTTTACCATCCTGTGGGAGGCTTCTCTCATGTCCTCACATGGGAAGCTGGAGTTGACAGATGGGATTCGAACCACCGACCTTCAGGTCAGCAGTTCAGCCGACACAAGGATTTAACCCATGGCGACACCATGGCTCCAGTAAAGCCAATTTGATTCTTTGTGGATCAATAGGATTATAATGTCCAACTCGAACAAAGTCATAGTCCCACTTTCTTCTGCTGTGGTCAGTCCTCATCTGGAGTCACTCTGGACCGTGCCCTGAACTACAAGAAGCACTGCCTGAATATCAAGCAAAAAGTGGGTGCTAGAAACAATATCATGCGAAAGCTGACTGGCACAACCTGGGGATCACAACCAGACACAGTAAAGACATCTGCCCTTGCGCTATGCTACTCTGCTGCTGAGTATGCATGCCCAGTGTGGAACACATCTCACCACGCTAAAACAGTGTATGCGGCTCTTAATGAGACATGCCGCATTATCACAGGGTGTCTGCGCCCTACACCACTGGGGAAATTACACTGTTTAGCCTGTATTGCACCACCTGACATCCGCCGGGAAGTAGCAGCCAATAGTGACAGGACCAAGGCAGAGACGTCTCCAGCTCATCCCTTGTTTGGGTATCAGCCAGCACGTCAACAACTTAAATCAAGAAATAGTTTTCTAAGATCTACAGAGACACTCGCTGGAACACCTCAGCAAGCAAGAGTCCAAAAGTGGCAGGCTCAAACCAAGAACCTCAATTAATGGCTGATACCAGATGAGAGACTCCACCCTGGGCACACAAAGGACTGGGCGACTTGGAAGGCGCTGAACAGACTGCGCTCTGGCACCACGAGATGCAGAGCCAACCTTAAGAAATGGGGCTACAAAGTGGAATCCTCGACATGCGAGTGTGGAGAAGAGCAAACCACTGACCACCTGCTGCAATGCAACCTGAGCCCTGCCACATGCACAATGGAGGACCTTCTTGCGGCAACACCAGAGGCACTCCAAGTGGCCAGATACTGGTCAAAGGACATCTAATCAACTACCAAGCTTGCAGATTCTGTGTTTTGTCTGTTTGTGTGTTTGTTTTGTTAAAAATGTAATACAAATGTCTGGTTGCTCCTGACTTGATAAATCAATCTGGAATAATAATCCTGTGTCCATCTTTGGGCAAAACAGTTCAAGAAGGATGTTGAGAAGCAGGGAAGTGTGACCAAAATGGCCAAAGATCTAGAAACCATGGATCCGTATTAGGAACTCCAATCAAAAAATTGGATTTCTCCATAGCTTTGCATAAGCAGCTGTCACTTCTGTTGTAATAGAAGCCAGAAATGATGTTTGGAGAATGCTGGAGATTGACAAATTCAGTTCAGAAGGAAAGTACAGTAAGGATAATTGGTCGGGCTCAAGAGGGATGGAGAACCAATGTTTTTATTTCTTTCCATCTTGGATTTGGCTGGAAAGTATGGAAAACTAAGGCAGAAAACAAACGCACATGGCTGCAAAAGCAACTGGAGGTGGGCAGGGAAGGAAAACATTCAACCTCCTCGCAGAAGTTCTTTGTGGGAGCAGCCGCCTGGTTAATTGAAATCTGGGTGCTGGCATGAGAAAGACAGATGGAAACTAAATACAGAGCCTTCCCTTGAGCTAATTATTCCATATGTGGGATTACGAGGCACTTTGGGTTTTAACGCCGCAGTAACAGCGACAACAAAAACTCACAGCCTTAATTAGAAAGGCTCAAAATGCAAACAGAATCCAATCCTGGAAGGGAAAGGCATCATTCAACTTGGGGCTGAAAGCACATCAGAAGACATCCCCTCCATGACCTGCCCAAACATACCAGGACACCACAGTCCGCAAATGTCCTTCTGCAGAGTATGTTTATATCTAGGAATAGTTAAAGTGTCCATGCAAATGGGCACCCAATAACACTTTTGTTTCCCCCATGAAGAAGATGGAAAAAGTACACAAGAAGTTGTTGTAGGTTTTTTCGGGCTATATGGCCATGGTCTAGAAGCATTCTCTCCTGACGTTTCGCCTGCATCTATGGCAAGCATCCTCAGAGGTAGTGAGGTCTGTTGGAACTAGGCAAAAGGGTTTATATATCTGTGGAATGACCAGGGTGAGACAAAGGACTCTTCTCTGCTGGAGCTAGGTGTGAATGTTTCAACTGACCACCTTGATTAGCATATAATGGCCTGACTTTGCCTGGGGCAAACTTAGATGTCCCTGCCTGCTTCCTCTCTGCTGTTGTGCTGTTCTAATTTTAGAGTTTTTTTAATACTGGTAGCCAAATTTTGTTCATTTTCATGGTTTCCTTCTTTCTGCTGAAATTGTCCACATGCTTGTGGATTTCAGGCAGGGACATCTAATTACCTCTCAACAAAAGTTTGCCCCAGGCACAGTCAGTCCATTGTATGCTAATCAAGGTGGTCAGTTGAAACATTCACACCTAGCTCCAGCAGAGAAGAGTCCTTTGTCTCACCCTGGTCATTCCACAGATATATGCATTATCATCACCACAATCCCCCTTCCTTCTCTTTCTCCTCTTCTCTCCCACTATGAGGTTTAAAAGAGTCAAATGGAACACCATACGTGGTTTTTGTTAGGCTAGATACATGCATACTCACTGGCTGGGTTCATTTAGCTAAAAGTTAAACAAAGAATGGTCCAAAGAGGTAGTGAGGCAAGGGAAGCTTTTGGGAAGCATCCTGGGTGCATCTTCCTCCCCTTGCCTCCCCACCTCTTCCTCCTCTTCCCCCGCAACCAAATGAGAGGTTCAGAAGAGCAAACTAGAACAACCCCATAAGCTGCCATTTCCAATCATCTACCTACGAAAGTGACGTGGAACTCACAGCCTGCTGAGGGATGCCCGATTCAAGAACCGTTTCCAAAGTGATGTTGATGGCGGAGTTGTAGTAGGGATGGTCCAGGGGCAAGTCCTGGAGGTTGAGGAGGACGCTGGCGTTGCCCTTGACCGTCTCCAGCAGGTCGGCCAGTTTGCAGATGGACTGGTTGGCAGCCTTCACGAAATCGGAACGGGAGAGGGAGCTGGCGGTCCAGAAAGGATCAGTCTGCGGAAAGGGAGGAAGAGAGATCAATATTCCTAGAATCATAGCCTCCTAGAATCATATAATTGGAAGAGACCACAAGGACCATCCTGTGCAACTTCATCCTGCCATGAAGGAAGATACAATCAACATAGAATCATAGAATCAAAGAGTTGGAAGAGACCTCATGGGCCATCCAGTCCAACCCCATGTCAAGAAGCAAGAATATTGCATTCAAATCACCCCTGACAGATGGCCATCCAGCCTCTGTTTAAAAGCTTCCAAAAGAGGAGCCTCCACCACACTCCAGGGCAGAGAGTTCCACTGCTGAATGGCTCTCACAGTCAGGAAGTTCTTCCTCATGTTCAGATGGAATCTCCTTTCTTGTAGTTTGAAGCCATTGTTTCCTGTCCTAGTCTCCAGGGAAGCAGAAAACAAGCTTGCTCCCTCCTCCCTGTGGCTTCCTCTCACATATTTATACATGGCTATCATATCTCCTCTCAGCCTTCTCTTCTTCAGACTAAACATGCCCAGCTCCTTAAGCCACTCCTCATAGGGCTTGTTCTCCAGACCCTTGATCATTTTAGTCGCTCTCCTCTGGACACATTCCAGCTTGTCAATATCTCTCTTGAATTGTGGTGCCCAGAATTGGACACAATATTCCAGGTGTGGTCTAACCAAAGCGGAATAGAGGGGTAGCATGACTTCCCTAGATCTAGACACTATGCTCCTATTGATGCAGGCCAAAATCCCATTGGCTTTTTTTGCCACCACATCACATTCCTGGCTCATGTTTAACTTGTTGTCCACGAGGACTCCAAGATCTTTTTCACACGTACTGCTCTCAAGCCAGTTATCGTCCCCCATTCTGTCTCTTTGCATTTCGTTTTTTCTGCCTAAGTGGAGTATCTTGCAGTTGTCACTGTTGAACTTCATTTTGTTAGTTTTGGCCAGTCATCTCTCTAATCTGTCAAGATCGTTTTGAATCCTGCTCCTGTCCTCTGGAGTCTTGGCTATCCCTCCTAATTTGGTGTCGTCTGCAAACTTGATGATCCTCCCTCCTGACAGATGGCCATCCAGCCTATGGTTAAAACCTCCTGGGAAGGAGACTCCACCCAATTCCCAGGCCGCATTCCTTTATGTTTCATCTACATACATAGAATCATAGAATCAAAGAGTTGGAAGAGACCTCATGGGCCATCCAGTCCAACCCCCTGCCAAGAAGCGGGAACATTGCACTCAAATCACCCCTGACAGATGGCCATCCAGCCTCCTTTCCTTTATGTTTAATCTACACCTGAAGGTCATTGTATGCACACTATTTGTAATAATTCTGTGCATGGAATCATGTTTGTATTTCTTGATCATCAAAAAGCAAAGGCTTCATTTTACTCACTGACTTATGTTGTATATATTTGCAAAATTCAATAAACATTATGTTAAAAAAAAAGCAAAGGCTTCGTGCTCTTAGCCACCCACGTGGACAATTTCAAATTTTGGATAATTTTGGAATTGCAGATAAGGGAAGCTCAACCCTTATGTATCGTGCTTTAATCCCTTCCTGCCCATTCTCTCTTTCTTCTCATCTAGAATGCAACTAGATTAGATTAGCATCCAAAATATTTCTCTGCCATCTTGTGGATGCCTCTGAGCACTGCATATATGCATACTTCATAGGGCCATCACTCCGAAATGGGGTGGATTTTGTGGTTGAAACCCCTCAATTATTTTAAGTAGGACAATGAAGGATCTGTGTGCCAAATCTGGTCTAGATCCATTAAGCCATGGAGGAGCCTTTGTGGTACAAAACAACAAGCAAACAAACTTTGACTTTTATATATATATCGACAAAACAGCTTCAAGCACCAACGAGGAAATTGCATGATCGGATCTGCGTATGGTACGATAAAAAGAGAACTAAAGATGAGACGTTTCTGCAAATAGATCCACTGAAAGTGGGAGAAGCACTTAATTTCAGGATGTATGTTTTTTAGGCTCGATTAATGAACAGCATTGATTGCTTCCGTTCCTCCGTGACAGTGATATGTTGCTTCATTTGCTCAATTTGGCATCACCTTCTTAATCTTCCTGGTCTGAAGATTTAGTTCCATTGTTTTCATCTTGCTTTGTTAAATTTTTCAATATGCATTTCCTGGTGGTTACTTGAGGTTGTTCACACAATTAGAGACACGCACCGTGTATTACCAACCGATCAGTTTATTATATCTCTGAAATGTAATAGCACACCATTCCCACATAACTCTTTGCAAACCACTGAAAAGTAGACATAGGAGATGCTTTCAAATGAACAAGTATAATATGCTGGAGAGTGGGAGAAGAGAAGTGCAAAAAGACGAGAAAGTGCACTGCATTGTGCAAAAGTATTGCCAATTTTGACTCCAGTACTGATTTTTTTTTTTTTGTCGTGTCAGGAGTGACTTGAGAAATTGCAAGTCGCTTCTGTTGTGAGAGAATTGGCCGTCTGCAAGGACATTGCCCAGGGGATGCCCGGGTGATTTGATGTTTTTATCATCCTTGTGGGAGGCTTCTCTCATGTCCCCGCATGAGAAACTGGAGTTGATAGAGGGAGCTCATCTGCCTCTCCCCGGACAGACAGACAGATCTGTTGTTAATTCGTTCAGTCACTTCATGACCTCATGGACCAGCCCAGACCAGAGCTCCCCATTGGCTGTCACCACCTCCATCTCCTTCAAGGTCAGTCCAGTCACTTCAAGGATACCATCCATCCACCTTGCCCTTGGTTGGCCCCTCTTCCTTTTTCCTTCTATTTTCCCCAGCATCATTCTCTTCTCTAAGTTTTCCTGTCTTCTCATTATGTGGCCAAAGGACTTCATCTTTGCCTCTCATCTCCTTCCCTCAAATGAGCAGTCGAGCTTTATTTCCTGGAGGATGGACTGGTTGGATCTTCTCGCAGTCCAAGGCACTCTCAGAACTTTCCTCCAGCACCACAGTTCAAAAGCATCTATCTTCCTTCACTCAGTCTTCCTTCTGGTCCAGTTCTCACATCCGTAGGTTACTACGGGGAATACCATTGCTTTAACTACGTGGATCTTTGTTGCCAGTGTGATGTCTCGGCTCTTCACTATTTTATCGAGATTGGTCATTGCTCTCCTCCCAAGAAGGAAAGGTCTCCTGATTTCCTGGCTGCAGTCTGCATCTGCAGTAATCTTTGTGCCTAGAAATACAAACCCTGTCACTGCCTCCATGTTTTCTCCCTCTATTTCCCAGTTATCAGTCAGTCCAATTGCCAGAATCTTGGTTTTTTTTTTAATGTTTAACTGCAACTCAGCTTTTGCGCTTTCTTCTTTCACCTTGATTAGAAGGTTCCTCAGCTCCTCCTCGCTTTCGGCCATCAGAGTGGTATCATTTGCATATCTAAGGTTGTTAATGTTTCTTCCAGCAATTTTCACCCCAGCTTTGCATTCCTCAAGGCCTGCACATCGCATGATGTGTTCTGCATACAAGTTGAATAGGTTGGGTGAGAGTATGCAGCCTTGCCGTACGCCTTTGCCAATCCTGAACCAGTCTGTTGTTCCGTAGTCTGTTCTTTCTGTTGCTACTTGGTCATTATACAGATTCCTCAGGAGAGAGACAAGGTGATTTGGTATCCTCATAGATAGCGCACAGAGATAGACAGACACACATAGATAGATAGATAGATAGATAGATAGATAGATAGATAGATAGATAGATAGATAGATAGACAGACAGATGCTGGGCTTTAGCACAGCAGGTGAAACCACCAGCTGTAGAAAATCTTGTCAATTGAAAGTTCAGCAGTTCAAGCCCGGTGAGCTCCCACTGTCAGCCCAGCTTCTGCCAATCTATCAGTTCAAAAACAGTAATGTGAGTAGATAAGTAGGTACTGCTTTTAGTGGGAAGGTAATAATAATAAAAATGCCCATAAGAACATGCCAGGCATTCAATCGGGAGGACGTCTACCGACAACAAAGCTCTGCATGGAAGATGTAGCAACAGCACCACCCTGTGGCCAGAGCTGAGCACAACCTCCAGATGCTGGAGATGGAAAAGATGGAAAAGCCTATACCTCTGTTTATGTATTGTCTGTCCTTGTTAATTGTATAACGGCATTGAATGTTTGCCATATATGTGTTCTGTAATTCGCCCTGAGTCCCCTTGGGGAGATCGAGCGGAATATAAATAAAGTATATCATTATTATTATTATTATTATTATTATTATTATTATTACATACACAAAAATGCCTACATACCCTGAGGAACCATTCACCAGCATTGAGCACCTCCAAGTCAGTCCAGTTGAACATGGAAGCATGCTCATAAGCCAGTTGTGGAAACACTTCTTCTACATTAGTTGTCCTCCGTAGTGTCTTGTCATGCATTAGGAAAGGTACTCCGTCATAACTGTGGAATAGAGAAAACAAGCATCAGTCTTTGACTTAAAGCAGCACATGGAAGAAAAATGACTTAGGTTTTGTCTTCTTTGAAGGAAGATGATGAAGCCATGCTGTTTGCATTCTGCATTTCTCACAAAGTCTATGTAAGTTAGTTTATTTTTATTTATTTTATTTATTTACATCGTTTCTACCCCGCCCTTCTCACCCCCGAGGGGGGACTCAGGGCGGCTTACATGGGCAACAATTCAATGCCATAATATCAATACAACAACATAAAATCAAATACATAGAAAATTAACAATAACGTTAATTAAAATCACATACTCATATACTAACATAGTCGCCTAATCAGAATCACATATCCGTTTCCAATTGTCATAATCCTGTGGTCCAGTTCAGTGTCTAAATGCTGCTATGTCCACTAGCCAAAAGCCTGGCTCCAAAACCACAACTTTGGTTTTTTTCCCTAAAAGTGAGGAGGGAGGACGCCGATCTAAGCTCACCGGGGAGTGAATTCCACAAGTGGGGGGCCACCACTGAGAAGGCCCTGTCCCTCGTCCCCACCAGATGCGTTTGTGACGCCGGTGGGACCGAGAGCAGGGCCTCCCCAGTAGATCTTAAATTACGAGGGTGGAACGTAGAGAAAGATACGTCCAGATAAGTAAGCTGGGCCGTTGTTGCGCTGTTTATTTTGTATGCAACACTGCAAGTTTATGTTTTGACTCTGCTGACAAGAGTAAAGTTTTCTGTTCCTTTCCCACTTGCCTTTGTGCAAAGTTATTATGCCTTTCGCATTGGACCAGACTAAATTCCGCTTAAGTGTAATAGAATATGCTTCCTTGGAGTCTGACGGAGTCTCCTCCTTTGGTGGTTACCAAACGGAATCTGGTTGGCCATCTGTTGGGAGTGCTTGGATTGTGTCATAGAATCATAGAATCATAGAATCAAAGAGTTGGAAGAGACCTCATGGGCCATCCAGTCCAACCCCCTGCCAAGAAGCAGGAATATTGCATTCAAATCACCCCTGACAGATGGCCATCCAGCCTCTGTTTAAAAGCTTCCAAAGAAGGAGCCTCCACCACACTCCAGGGCAGAGAGTTCCACTGCTGAACGGCTCTCACAGTCAGGAAGTTCTTCCTCATGTTCAGATGGAATCTCCTCTCTTGTAGTTGGAAGCCATTGTTCCATTGCGTCCTAGTCTCCAGGGAAGCAGAAAACAAGCTTGCTCCCTCCTCCCTGTGGCTTCCTCTCACATATTTATACATGGCTATCATATCTCCTCTCAGCCTTCTCTTCTTCAGGCTAAACATGCCCAGCTCCTTAAGCTGCTCCTCATAGGGCTTGTTCTCCAGACCCTTGATCATTTTAGTTGCCCTCCTCTGGACACATTCCAGCTTGTCAATATCTCTCTTGAATTGTGGTGCCCAGAATTGGACACAATATTCCAGGTGTGGTCTAACCAAAGCAGAATAGAGGGGTAACATTACTTCCCTAGATCTAGACACTATGCTCCTATTGATGCAGGCCAAAATCCCATTGGCTTTTTTTGCCGCCACATCACATTGTTGGCTCATGTTTAACTTGTTGTCCACGAGGACTCCAAGATCTTTTTCACACGTACTGCTCTCGAGCCAGGCGTCACCCATTTTGTATCTTTGCATTTTGTTTTTTCTGCCAAAGTGGAGTATCTTGCATTTGTCACTGTTGAACTTCATTTTGTTAGTTTTGGCCCATCTCTCTAATCTGTCAAGATCGTTTTGAATCCTGTTCCTGTCCTCTGGAGTATTGGCTCTCCCTCCCAATTTGGCGTCGTCTGCAAACTTGATGATCCTGCCTTCTAGCCCTTCATCTAAGTCATTCATAAAGTTGTTGAACAGGATCAGGCCCAGGACGGAACCCTACGGCACTCCACGTGTCTTCCTGCATGACACAAAGGGGTTGGACTGGATAGCCTTTAGAGTTTGTTCCAATCTATGATGTTATGATTCTATTGAATTGTGCCCTGAAAATCTGAAGGCCGCTATGTAGCTCAAAAGTTGACATGCTCTTCAAAGGCACCAGGTTCTCGAATGCTTCACTGCTCTTCTTAAAAGCATCCCTGTCTTACATAATGGTGATAAACTGCACCACTTAATAGTGAGGAATATAGACAAGGGCATGGGACTTTGAAAGCCTTGGAGGAAAAAGAAAAGAGAGAGAGAAACTTGCCTTATCACTACATCTGCTTGCACTCCATAGACTTTCTGCTCCACTGCCTTCTGAAAGGACATCAGCGTGTTTTCTGGTGCCAGCTGGAGGAGAGAGAGAGAGGGAAAAAAACCAGGGAATAAACAATATTATTTATTCATAGGAGCATGCTGCCAAACGAGACACCATCGGAGCAATGAGAACAGTCCGTGAAAAAGCCAGAATGGACTATTGAAACAGCATCACGAAGACAGCGTGGAAAACCGGAACAGCGAGTCAACGCTCTCACTAGACTCTTCAGATAAAGTAGAGTCTTGATATGCTTATCTTCATATCTAAGAGAACAAATAGGACAGTTTCTTGGAATCATAGAATCATAGAATCAAAGAGTTGGAAGAGACCTCATGGGCCATCCAGTCCAACCCCATTCTGCCAAGAAGCAGGAATATTGCATTCAAATCACCCCAGACAGATGGCCATCCAGCCTCTGTTTAAAAGCTTCCAAAGAAGGAGCCTCCACCACACTCTGGGGCAGAGAGTTCCACTGCTGAATGGCTCTCACAGTCAGGAAGTACAGATGGAATCTCCTCTCTTGTAGTTTGAAGCCATTGTTCCGCGTCCTAGTCTCCAAGGAAGCAGAAAACAAGCTTGCTCCCTCCTCCCTGTGGCTTCCTCTCACATATTTATACATGGCTATCATATCTCCTCTCAGCCTTCTCTTCTTCAGACTAAACATGCCCAGCTCCTTAAGCCACTCCTCATAGGGCTTGTTCTCCAGACCCTTGATCAGAGTTTTAGTCCAATGACCAAACCACCACATTATGCCGGCTACCCAAGATATCTCCATGAAGATTCAGAATAAAACCTGGAGTGGATTCACTGCCCAATTAAATGAGATCCACCAGCTAGCACTACTTCTTGAATATGTGGACATTCTTAGTGACTTTTGTTACAGTAAGTCGTAATAGGATGGAAGCCGTAGGGAAGAAGGTTATTGCTTCTCTTCCTTAGAGTAGCATATTGCTCCACCTCCTCAGAGTAGTGTATTGCTTCTCTAAACTGTATTCTAAAATCCATACAGTTATACCACACCGAGTGTGGCCCAAACATGCTAGCTGACCTACATTACCAGCTGCACATAATAATTAACATCATAAAGTTTTTCTTTAACACACACTTGATCCTGTTATGACTTACTGTAACAAAAGTCACTAAGAATGTCCACATATTCAAGAAGCAGTGCTAGCTGGTGGATCTCATGTCAATGGGACATGAATCCACTCCAGGTTTTACTCTGAATGTTCATGGAGATATCTTGGGTAGCCGGCATAATGTGGTGGTTTGGTCATTGGACTAAAACTCTGTGGAGACTAAGTTCGAATTTCTGCTCAACTGTGGCAATCCATTGGTCATATTGGAAGGGTCACACTGTCTCAGCCTCAGAGGGAAACAATGGCAAACCCCTTCTTGTCACAAAGTAAAGTTGCTTACCTGTAACTATGTTTCTTTGAGTGGTCCAGTGAAATTCGCACCTATGGTATTTCCTGCGACAGGTGTGGATTTCACAGTGACCACACTGAAGAAAGTAAGATTGCTTACTAGGCAACCAACCTTAAAAACTCTGGCATAGACACTGAGAACTGGGAAGCCCTGGCCCTTGACCGCTCCAGCTGGAGGTCAGCTGTGACCAGCAAGGCTGCAGAATTTGAAGAGGCACGAATGGAGGGCGAAAGGGAGAAGCGTGCCAAGAGGAAGGCACGTCAAGCCAACCCCGACCGAGACCGCCTTCCACCTGGAAACCAATGCCCTCACTGCGGAAGAAGATGCAGAGCAAGAATAGGGCTCCACAGCCACATACGGATCCACAAGAATATTGGAAGACAATCATCCTCGGCAAACGAGGGATCGCCTAAGTAATACGGAGGAGGAGGAGGAGGAGGAGGAGGAGAGGAGGAGGAGGAGGAGGAGGAGGAGGAGGAAGAGGTGATGGAGGGCTTGATTCTTGTAGCCCAAGAACAAGTAATTAGAACAAATGCCATCAAAGCCAGAATTGAAAAGTCGACAATAGATCCCAAGTGTCAGGCATGTAGCCGGGGGGGGGGGGGGGGGGGGGGGGGGTTCAGCCCCCCCAAAATTCTCATGGTGGTTCGCGAAAGGCCTTACTGGTGCATTATTTAAACTGTTATGTTTATTCATATCATGATCTGATCACCATACTCAATATATCCCATATGCATGGGGGTATTGGGGTAATGATACAAAAGGTTTGCTAGGCTAGACCCTCTTTCACTCAGACTCAGCCTCCCCCCCCCCCCGAAACTCAGCCCCCCCCGAAACCCCCCCTGAAAAAAAATTCAGCCCCCCCCCCCGAAACGAAATCCTGGCTACGGGCCTGAAGGTAGCCCAATGTAAATTGCATTGCAGATCCTCAGGTGCTGAAAGAAGATTGTGCAGATGGACTACAAGCAGAGGCACAACACAGTTGCTCAGAATATCCATTGGAACTTGTGCCAGAAATATCATCTGTGACAAAGACAAAGAACTGGTGGGATCACAAGCCTGAAAAAGTTACACAGAATGAACACATCAAACTACTTTGGGACTTCTGGATTCATACTGACAGAGTTTTGGAGCACAAGACTCCTGACCTCACGATCATGTTAAAAAACATGTATGGATTGTTGATGTTGCAATCCCAGGTGACAGCAGGATTGAAGAGAAACAACTGGAAAAGCTGGCATGATGTGAGGATTTAAAGATCGAACTGCAAAGACTCTGGCACAAGCCAGTAAAGGTGGTCCCAGTGGTGATCGGCACACTGGGTGCAGTGCCTAAAGACCTTGGCCTGCACTTAAACACAATCGGTGCTGACAAAATTACTATGTGTCAGCTACAAAAGGCCACCCTACTCAGATCTCCAAACATTATTCACCTACACATCACTCAGCCCTAGACACTTGGGAAGTGTCCGATGTGTGATCCAATACAACAGCCTGCAGAGTGATCTTGTCTACTGTGGACTCATCTTGTTGTGTTTCAAATAATAATAATAATAATTTTAGTTGTATCTTGCCCCATCTCCGCAAGAGGACTCGAGGTGGTTAACATGCCACATAGTGCACAATAAAATACTTGAAATAAATACAAAAATCTGGATGGAATTTATTTGGAGACCAAGGTCCACCATTGGCTCTGAGAGGCACCGGGCCCCATCAGTGCCAAGGCTGAGACGGAATTGTAGAGTTGGAAGATTGTAAAAAGGTGTTTTGTTTAATTAATTACAATATTTCTATTCCCACCTTATAATCAAATGGTTCCAGGGCAGTGTACAAATAAAAACAATTTAAAACAAAGCACCTTGACCACTGTTTTTTTAACCTTTTAAACCTGTTTTAACTTGTTAATCGTGTTTTAACCAGTTAAAAGAGGTTTAAGAGATTAAAACATATTTTAAAGCCATGGGAATTAGCATCCTGAGATTAGCCCAAGGAGAATCAAAGCCTTTGATGGATAGCCATGTTTTCACCATATTTTCAACCATATTTTAATCATTCACAATTTCTCAGTTTTAGGAGAAAGGCAGAAGGTAAAGAAAGACGTGGAGGCAGTGACAGACTTTGTATTTCTAGGAACAAGGATTACTGCAGATGCAGATTTCACCCTCCCTATTCAACTTGTATGTAGAACATGTCATGCAACGTGCGGGGCTTGACTAATCCAAGGCTGGAGTTAAAATTGCTGGATGAAACATTAACAACCTTAGATATGCAGATGATACCACTTTGATGGCTGAAAGTAAGAGGATCTGAGGAACCTTCTAACCAAGGTGAAAGAAGAAAGGGGAAAAGGTGGGTTGCAGTCAAACATCAGAAAAACCAAGATGGTGGCAACCAGACTGATTGATAACTGGCAAATAGAGGTAGAAAACATGGAGGCCGTGACAGGGTTTGTGTTTCTAGGTGCAAACATGATTGCAGACGCGGACTGCAGCCAGGAAATCAGAAGATGTTTACTTCTTGGGAGCAATGACTAATCTCAATAAGATAGTGAAGAGTAGAGACATCACACTGGCAACAAAGATCAGCATAATTAAAGCAATGGTATTCCCTGTAGTACTTACTTATACTTAGACGATCCCTCGTTGGACGAGTAAGATGGGTTTCCTTGTGGATTTGTAGGTGGCTGTAGAGCCCTATTCTTGACCCACATCTTCTCCCATAGGGAAGGCATTGGTTTCCAGGTGGAAGGCGGTCCCGGTCGAGGTTGGCTTGACGTGCCTTCCTCCTGGCACGTTTTTCTCTTTCACCCTCCGCTCGTGCCTCCTCGAATTCTGCAGCACTGCTAGTCACAGCTGACCTCCAGCTGGAGCGCTCAAGGGCCAGGGCTTCTCAATTCTCAGTGTCTATGCCAGAGATTTTAAGGTTGGTTTTGAGGCCATCTTTAAATTTCTTTTCCTGTCCACCAACGTTCCGTTTTCCGTTCTTAAGTTCAGAGTAGAGCAACTGCTTTGGGAGACGATGGTCAGGCATCCGGACAGCGTGGCCGGCCCAGCGGAGTTGATGGTGGAGGACCATCGCTTCAATGCTGGTGGTTTTTGCTTCTTCCAGCACGCTGACGTTTATCTGCTTGTCTTCCCAAGAGATTTGCAGGATTTTCCGGAGGCAGCACTGATGGAATCGTTCCAGGAGTTGCATGTGACGTCTGTAGACAGTCCATGTTTCTCAGGCATAAAGCAGGGTTGGGAGGACAATAGCTTTATAGACAAGCACCTTGGTATCCCTACGGATGTCCCGGTCCTCAAACACTCTCTGCTTCATTTGGGAAAATGCTGCACTCGCAGAACTCAGGTGGTGTTGTATTTCGGTGTCGATGTTGACTTTGGTGGAGAGGTGTAGTAACCTATGGATGAGAGAGCTGGACCATAAGAAATACTGAACGAAGGAAGAGAAGCGCTTTTGAATTGTACTGCTGGAGGAAAGTTCTGAGAGTGCCTTGGACTGCGAGAAGATCCAACCAGTCCATACTCCAGGAAACAAAGCCCGACTGCTCACTGGAGGGAAGGAGATTAGAGGCAAAGATGACGTTCTTTGGCCACATCATGAGA